AAAGTGTGTTGTTGGTGTTTTTTTTTTTTTTTTAAGAATGTTGCCAAATAGTATATGGAAGAAAATCTCAATTTGGTGAAGGAAACATTTCTTATATAACTTTTCAATATATATTGAAATGTTTATGTAAGACACTATGTGGTTATCTATTTTCATGCTGACTTTACCTTAAAAGATAATATACTGTCATTTGAGTTATTTTCTATGCTTTTTTCCCTTTTTAGTATAGCTGCACAAGAACATTTAAGCAATATTGAGAACAGATCTCTTATTTTGGCCAATGGCTTGAGAAAAGAATCCAATTTCTGATTATTTAGATGTTGTGTAATGGTAACATTGCCTACCATTGAGTTCTGTGTTTTCCCTCGTATGTGAAAAGTATAGAAGCATACCACGGAGATATTTGGGGTTAAGTTCTAGACCACCGCAATCAATCGAGTATCGCAATCCACTGAGCATTCTTTTTGCTGGTGGAGGGTCTTGCCTTCGGTTTGTAAAACACACATTTGTGAATTGCAAGAAAGTGACCTTCAATAAAACGAGGTACGCCTGCCATTGTTTTAATAATAAGTATTTCTTATACCTGAATCTAGGGCTCACTTAAAACTCTTCACCAGCCGTGACTGCTTTCAGACTGCAGCTGGAAATGGGGTATTAACTCTCAGTGCCCGTATACTAATGAGTAGGTGTCATTTGAGGAAAGGAATCATTAGTGCTCACAACCTTGACCTCTTTTTCCTCCCTGAGTGATGCATTGGATGTTTACAGAATATAAAGATGAAAATCCTAATTACATGAAGGCAGTCAAACTAGGCCAGTTCTGAAATGCTTTTCATCAGTAAACACACTCATGGAGCAAGAGAGATGAGACCATCAAATTAATTGGTGTCAGCTCGCCACCATACGTGTTCCAGCACAAAAATCCCCCAAACTTGCCCTCCAGGGAACAATCTTTTGACTCAGCCTCCTCTTGCATTGTCAAATCAATTAGGTGGAGAAGTGAATGCTGGAAGGGAATAAACGAGTTATTCTATTTTCCCACATAAACACCAGTTTTATTCTGAATAATCACATAATTTTAAGAATTTTTCTGAAGTTTACAAAAAGTAACCCCAGTGTCGTTAATTCTGGAAACTCGATTTTGGACATTAGCACTACCTAAGTTGAACGGTACCATTTCAAAAATTTCAGAACTTCTATAGATTTCATTTTTAAAGTTAAAAACATTTGATTTTTCATGGTAAGTGATGTTACTGAAAACTTAGTAGACTTTTAGTTACTTTGATGATTTTTTTAAATAAAGATTTTATCTATGTATTTTTCGAGAGGGGACGGGAGGGAGGAAGAGAGGGAGAGAACTACCAATGTGTGGTTGCCTCTTGCATGCCTCCTACTGGGGACCAGGCCCACAACCCAGGCATGTGCCCTGACTGGGAATCGAACTGGAGACCCTTTGGTTTACAGGCCTGCACTCAATCCACTGAAGTACACCAGCCAGGGCATTTTGATGATCTTTTTAATCTTACAAATTAGCAATGCATATAAATATATATAAAATAATAAGTTTGTCTAATGACTTGCATTGGAGGCCAGGGAGTTGCATTTTGGTAAACCCAAAATGAAGAGAGATGAATTTGGATTAATACAGAGAAAGGCATGATCTCATTGTATTTTCCTTAGTATTGGGTTGGCCAAAAAGTCTGTTTAGTTTTTTCCATAAAATAAGATACACAGTTTTCATTTTGACCAATCACTTTATTGATTTGGATGTTTCGAGTGTGTCGGCTATCCCCCACTCTTGGCTTCCAGTGGGCAGAGGCCCGGGGTGCTGCTAAACATCTTCCAACGCACAAGACAGCTCCACAGTAGAGAACTGTTTGGCCCAAGTGTCAGTAGTACCAAGAAACTTTGCAAAACACTGTTAGACACATTCTATCAGTCACAGCACCTTCTCCATACACTGCACAAATCTTTTTGTGTGTGTGTCAGTTGCGTTTTAACTTCTCTTGAAATAAAGCATAATACACTGAAAATGTTGTGCATCTTCTTCCATATTCAGTACTAAAATGGCTGCACAAAAATTCACCAATTTTGATAATTTTTTTAAATGCACACTGATATAACAGGTGTCACAATACAGTCTAGTGAAATTGTTTTTGAATGAAGTTAAAGACAACTAAGCACTACTGGAGTCATCGTATGGGCAAAACATAATGGACTTTATGGCCAACCCAATATTTCCTGAAGCATCAGATGAATTGTAAAAAGTTCAAAGAGCTTCTTATTCTTTTTTTTAATTCCACTTTTTAAAAAAATATTTATTTATTTATTTTTAGAGAGGAGAGGGAGGGAGAAAGAGAGAAACATCAATGTGCGGTTGCTGGGGGTCATGGCCTGCAACCCAGGCATGTGCCCTGGCTGGGAATCGAACCTGCGACACTTTGGTTTGCAGCCCGCACTCAATCCACTGAGCTACACCAGCCAGGGCTTTATTCTCGATTTTTGAAAGTTTCTGTTGAATAATGCTGAGCTTTTCTAGCATTTGAAGGTCACACGTAAGAGTTCCAAGCAGCGCAGAGCGAGTATGAAAAATAAAGTGTTGCTACAGCCTTCCAGGGAAGCCTGCAAGGATTTAGATTCCACCGTCATCTGAAGCAAACTATTAATGACATTGGCTAAGAGTATTTTAGATTTTGGATATTCTTGGATTATGTAATATTACTGCCCCCATCTGGGTGGTGCAGGGCTCAGGGGAGTCCCCCTTGGACTTGCTCTCCAGTCCCTCTCCTGCCTCACCTCCGGCTGGGCTCCCAGGCCGCCCCACTGTAGCCTGAGGTCCACAGTTGGCCATCCTCCCAGCAGAACCCACGTAGCAGTGGGGGAGGAATCCCGCACACCTGATTTCCTATCCCCAACCCACTGAGGGGGCCCTGGAAGCTAAGCCAGTTTCCAGGAACAACCCAGCCTGGCTCTGGCCCTCGTGGCCCGTTGCCTCCACCACCTGGTGTGGGTAAGAAGGCAGAGTCGGAAGCCAGGTGTCTCTGCCATGGGAAGGACTGTGCCCTAAGTAGGGGGGCCTGGTGAAAAATGAATATTCTTTTTTTTTAAGATTTTATTTATTTTCAGAGAGGGAAGGGGGGGGAGAGGGAGAGGGAGGGAGAGAGAGAGAGAGAGAGAGAGAGAGAGAGAGAGAGAGAGAGGGGAGAGGGAGAGGGAGAGGGAGAGAAAGAAACATCAGCGTGCGGTTGCTGGGGGTCATGGCCTGCAACCCAGGCATATACCCTGACTGGGAATTGAACCTGCGACACTTTGGTTTGCAGCCCGCGCTCAGTCCACTGAGCTATGCCAGCCAGGGCAAAAATGAATATTCTTAAGTGTCAGTTGGCTAGTGTCCAAGTAATAGTTATTTCAGAAAAAATCTTTCATTAGTCTTTCTTTAGGTGCTGACTATAAACTACACCCAAGATATGTTGCATGCTCCACCTACATTTCAGAAAAGCCTAAGAATCACTTGTAGGACCTGCTTAGAACCCTTTTTTGAAAACTCTTGGGTTTTTCGCCCTGGCTGGCATAGCTCAGTGGATTGAGCGCGGGCTGCGAACCAAAGTGTCGCAGGTTGGATTCCCAGCCAGGGTACGTGCCTGGGTTGCAGGTCATGACCCCCAGCAACCGCACACTGATGTTTCTCTCTCTCTCTCTCTCTCTATCTCCCTCCCTTCCCTCTGTAAAAATAAATAAATAAAATCTTCAAAAAAGAAAAAACTCTTGGATTTTTCAATGCTTGCTTTAAGCCAAGACACGATACTTTCATAAGGGCACTTGTTAATAGCTGGTTAGCATTAGCAGTTGCAGAGATAAATTCCTGTTCCATCAATCTTTGATTATGATTCTGACATACGATTTTCAGGTAGCATTTCCTTAGTGACTGATCCTGTGCATGGCTTGTTGAAATGTAATGCAAAGTACATGACTCTCTCTATTTCTTCTTTTGAAAGTTAACTGCAATGATTTTATATGTTTTGTGTAGATTTAATGATTATGTGTTTATGAATATCTCTTCCCCCTGCCTATTTTCAACAGATTTGAATTTTATAAACCTTTACTCATATTTTCTCAGGAAAATATCCTGCACGGATAAAAAATAGGTTTTTTTTCTATAAAAGAAATATTCATTTAAACTGAAACTAAAAAAAAATAAAAATATAAATTAAAAATAAATAAACTGAAACTAGAACTCAAGCTTTTTTTACATGCCTCGTTTTCACAGGTATTCTAAAACTGTCTTTACTACTTGTGAGAAACTCAAACATTACCTTCCCAGTGCTGAATGAAAAGACTACATTGAATTCATTGCCTGAAAATGACTCCCTGAAGAGCCAGAGATTATTTAATGATAACCCAGCAAATCATAAAAGTGAGAGATTTCTCCTGGGAAAGAAGCAAACGAAATCCGCCCTACAAAATATATTGAGAGGTCACTAAAAACCCCAACAGACTCCTTGCATCGTTAAGATGCACGCTGTCAACTCCGTATACAAAGGGAGGAATTAAGAAGTTTCCTCAATAACGCCTTTTCCCACTACTGCTTTGTATTTAGAGATGACAGAGGCAGTATATTAACAAGAATAAGAGAACGTTTGTATCTGATTCCTGTTATTCCACAATATCGCAGCTATTTTCATTTGTCGTCTACCCATTTGTTCTTGGCGCACTCTCTTTCTCGTCGAATACACAACATCCCGTGATGGTGCTTGTGCGATCTGTTCATTCGTGTGTGATGCAAATGTTTAAAGATAACCATTTTGCCCTGCCCTCTCTATGGAACGCGGGACACGAGGAACTACCCGAAAAAAATACTTTGATTTAGGGACTCTAGGCAGCCCAGGAATGTGCGAGGCGGGGGACAAACGGCAGCTTCAAGGTCCCGACTTCAGGCCCCGCCCCCGCCGCCGGCCCCACCCCGTCCTCCCCGGGCCCCGCCCCTGCCCGCCGCCATGTTGTTCTCTCGGCGCTGGGCGGGAGCTGCGGGAGTCAGACTCTGGGAGCGCTCTCGCCGCCGTGTCCAGCCAGCCCGTCTCCGACGGTGTCGCTCTCCTCGTCGCCCCCGGACAGGCCAGGCCGGGGCTCGCGGACGTCCCCCGTGTGGCCGGGAGGTGAGCGGGGCGCGGGCTCCCTGGCGGGGGGCCTGGGGGCCGGGGGCCGGGGGCCGGGGGCCGGGTGGGTGTCATCAGTGTCCGAGCTCGCGTGGGCCGCCCGCGCGGTCCGGGCCTCCTGCGGCTGGGGTGGGCGACGCGCGCGCGCGCGGGGCCTGCGCGCGCGGCACTTGCCACGCTGAGAGGGGCCCGGCTTCTTGCCCCCTGCCTTGTCCCGACTGACGCAGCGGGAAAGACGGGTTCCCACACCCACACACAACCGCGGGGAGAGGCACGCGCAACCCGCGGGGACGCACTCGTACACCAGCCTCGCCCCCGCCCCCCCCCAGCCGCTGGGGACGCGCACCCACACGCCCCAGCCCACCCAAACCGAGCCCGATCCCGAGCGGCTCGTGCGGAGAAAGCGGAGGCGCCGGCGCGCGAGTGGACGTTGGCGACTCGTCCCGTGCTCCCTAGGTGAACCCTTGCGACGCGTCGTGACCCCCCCCTCCCCGGGTGAGGAATTTGGAGTGTAAAGCCAATCTTGGGGCCGGGGCGGTTTGGGGTGTTATCTGGTTCAGACTGGCTAAGGTTTCCGAGTCGTGTTCCCTGCGTTCTTCCAACTTAGTCTGTGAAGAGGCAAGATGAGAATTTGGAGTGCCGACCAAATCGTGGTGGAGGTATTGGTTTGGTTTCTTTAAGTGATGACACATCCCGTGACCACGGTTCTTTTGAGGAATGACTTTTTTGCTAGTTTCCAAATCGTCACGTGACCCATCGTTTAATAGGATCTCAGCGCCCCGATGAAAGCAAATAGATAGAATTTGATTGCTTTGGGAAAATGAAAAAAGTAATAGTTGCCCCTGCCGGTGTGGCTCAGTTGGTTGGAGCGTCCTCCAGTATACCAAAAGGTTGTCGGTTTGATTCCCTGGGGGGGGGGCCCGCGTATGGGAGGCAGCCGATCCATGTTTCTCTCTCACATCGACGTTCCTCTGCCTCCCTTCCTGTCTCTCAAAAATCAGTAAACATATTTTAAAAAACTTTTTAAAAGAATTTTTTGTTTTTACTTGTCTTTCAGTCTCTACCACAGTGGTAATGGAAAAATCCCTAAATTGCCTGTAATCTCAAAAAACCAGTTCGTGGCGCTAAACCGTAATGATGAAGGAAACCCAGCACTGTTGACTCGCAGACTTTTAAGAAGATTATTCTTAGATTCTCGTTTAGAAGCTTCTGTGGAACTTATCGCTACTTCGCTAGAACTCTCAGTATCTTATTTAGATTTGCAAATCTAAGACAGTGGTATGGCAGTCTGGTGCTTTCAGTGTTTTTGTGTAGCCATTGTAGTAAATTGCTCTTGCTTGCACTATAAAAGTTTCTGGCTTAGTGATTCATTTATTTTGGAGAGTTTTGTCACGTGGGGATAGTTTTGGTGAATCGTTTGTGAGGTTAAAGGGGACCATGAGAATTAACTGGAACATCTTTGGCCTTGATTCCAGCGGGGTTGTTTAGGGAAATTAGCGAAATACTTAAGTACTGCTGCCCCTTTTCCAACCTATCTTTTCGTTTCTTTCCCAGGCACTTCTTCCACCTGTGCTACACTGCTCTAGAGGCCTGAAGGTAAGTCCCTGTGGTTGTAGAAGTTACATTGTAGCCTCCCCTTTGCGTGTGTGTAAATCCTGTACATACATCATTTCATTTAATTGTCATAGCACATCCTCGTTATTGACTCCATTCTACAGGTGAGCCATTTGCTGGGGCCTTGGGGGTTAGGTCTGTTTCCACAGATCACACAGGGCGGAGCCAGGATTCAAAGCACGCCTGCGGGAGTTGCCGGTGGTATTCTCAAGCTGGGACTTTGATAATGTCTGCAGGCATTTTGGGTTCACACCTGGGATGGGTGCTGCTGGCATCTAGTGGGTAGAGGCCAGGGGTGCTGCCCAATATCCTACAATGTGCAGGGCAGGCCCCACGAGAGAGAGAGAGAGAGAGAGACAGAGAGAGAGAGAGAGAGAGAGAGAGAGAGAGAGTGTCTCTGGCCCAAATCGTCACTAGTGCAGGGGTCTGTAACTTTAGAGCTCACGTTTCAGGACTTCTGTCCGTTCTTCAAACGCAACAGCACTTTCCTATTTAGGATACCCCCTTAGCATTTTAAGAAATAGCAAGGGAGAAATTTGAGAACTTGAAGAGATTTCCTTTGACTGAGAGACATACTTATTCATTTGAAAGATTACGGGGAGAGCAAATAATTTCTAATAACAGAATCCATTTTTTTCAAAGATTTTATTTATTTTATTTTCACAGAGAGGGAAAGGGAGGGAGAAAGAGAGGGAGAGAAACATCCATCAGCTGCCTCTTGTACGAGGGACCGGACCTGCAACCCAGGCATGTGTCCTGACCAGGAATTGAGCCAGTGACCTTCTGCTTTGTGGGATGATGTGCAGCCACCTGAACCACACCGGTCAGGGCTACAGAATCCATTTTTTTAAGGCAAAAGTGGCCAAAGGAACTCGAGAACCAATTCAGATCTGTAGAAGTAAACTTAAGGCGTTAGGTTTCTATTACTTCAATTATCAGTAAGCATTTTCTCAGTAGCGTGCTGTGCACTGATGGAAAGGAACTGCCGATATGAAGGGCAGTCAGGAGCTTACAGTATAATCACGATCATAAGATCAGGTTCTGACTCGTCCTAGAACAAAATTTATTGCCTGGGCTGCCCAAGGTCAGGGGCCAGGTGTCATTAAAAAAACCCCAAACATGATAGGTGCACACGCACACACATATACCTGTATCACGATATTTACTGTGCGAGGAAAAGTTAATGTGTTTTTGATAGATTTGTGGGTTGACCGCATGTGAATATTTACAGGAATCAAATCGCATAGCCATTATTGTTGAGCGTAAAAAATCTGAAATTTAGCCTCAGTAGACAATAGTTCTGCATGCATTTTATCATGGAAATCAAGACATAAATGATGAAAATATTTAAAAAAATAATGACCCAAAGGTCATTTCCTTTTCTTGCAATTTCCAGCCTGTTTTCACCATGCCCATCTAAGACTAGGCACTTCAGTCTATGTACACGGCTTCATTCTGGGGGCAGGCGTTACTTTTAGGTGAACTTTGGGAGTGAGTGATTGAGAGCAGGAGTCACGATGGGCGGGCTCTGTGAAAGTGTTTGTTAGTCACACAGTCAACACGGCATCTTTCGCGGCGAGCTTTGCTTTTTGACTCATGCTGATGAACAGTGTGTTCTTTGCCAAAGAATAGATTTCTCATCAGGAGCTGTCTGCCGTGGGGTGAGAGCGGTTGCTAAATTATACATCTGAAACGATTGCCATCTCATGGTGTCTAACAAAGAAATCTGTGTTTCTTTCCTTACTGGAGGGGCTGTATTCTGGAAAGGATCAACAGGAGTTGGTGCAGGAAGGACATCCCTTGGCCTCCGAGGAGTCTTGCTCAATCTCTATAGTTGGCTTGCTGCTCTGGCCAAATGAGGTCACCACGTTTCTCTTTATGAGATTACAGGAGACCAAGTTAGAGACATCAGATTATTGGTTTCCAAGGAGTTCTGCTCCAGGCAGTTGCTAGTTAAGCAGCAGGAAAAAAATCAGCCAAATGGAAGTGTGTGTATGTGTGTGTGTGTATGTATGTGTTTGAAATGTGTCTCACTTGCAAGCTAGCTAGGTAATAAATTTGTTAGTGCAAACCAGGGAAAAGAAAATAGGGCATATGATTAAGTAGGTTGTCAACAGAGAATATTTATTACAGAGTTGTTTTTTTTTGGCAGGGGGAAGGGTGAACTCACAAAATGCCTCAGGGAGTTTGGAAAGCTCTGATACAAAGGTCAGAGTACCTGAGGGGGGACAAGTCCCACTCAGGTGTGTAGCTGGAGGGAGGCCTGGCTGCTTTGTGCTGGGAAGGCAAGGCGGGAGCCTGGGGGCCCTTCGGCTCATACCACAACCTGGGGGAGAGCCCTGTTTCCCAAAGTGAATCTGGATACCCTGCACGTTGTGAACTTGAGCTCTGGGATGTCCACAGTCTGCATTGTCCCATTACCTTTTGTTTTTGACCATGGTGGGCCCAGGTTTTGCAATGCTGTTGCCAATCGTGAACATGGAGGGGATGATGAGATGGAAATGAATGTAAGTAAGGTAACAGATCAGCTGGCGGTGGAGGGAGACGGCTGTACATTCTGGAAGCACAGTCGAGGCTTTACTGAACCTGGCCCATTTTATTTATCCTGGAGAGTCTCTGGACACAGTTCACGTTTGTCCCAGGCCCGATGCCTCACAAATGTATGGCATTGTTTGACAAGGGGTGGAGAAGCAGCACGGCACAGCGTGATGCATTCACTCCGTGGCCGCATTCATTATCCAAGTGTGATGGGTAGCCGAGCAGTGTACACCAATGAACTGAACTGTTTAGTGTAAACCGAACTGCTTTAATTAGAAATTCGTGTGCATCGTGTTAAGTTTTGGGGTTCAGAAGCTAAGGTAGTTTTGGGGTTAGTTCTCATCAGAGTGGTTGTGTTATCAGTGTGAGAGAAGCCTGAAAAAAAAAAAAACAAACCTTACAGATTTCTGTTTCTGGAACTTGCTATGTAAAACTCTAATGGAGGAACGTTGAAATGATTTAACAGGCTCAAAAGAGGTAGAAGTCACTGAGCTGTGGATGCTGTAAGGCGACTGACTGCTCTAGTCTTTCCTGGTTGAGGCTTGTGCAGTCAGCAGCGATTAGGTGAACATGCCTAAAAATACGAGTGTGGTTTAGTTGGAAGTCACAACAGAACACCAGAAGCACTGTTGGAGGACCAGATATTGGTAAATGGAGAACACTCTCTGGATTTGTTTATTTATATATTTTTAAAAGATTTTATTTACTTCTCTTTCGAGAGAGGGGGAGGGAGGGAGAAGGAGAGAGAGAAACATCGATCAGTTGCCTCTTCACATGCGCCCCGTCCAGGGACCAAACCCACAACTCAGGCATGTGCCCTGACCAGGAATTGAGTGGTGACCCTTTGCTGTGTGGGATGATGCCCGACCAACTGAGCCATGCCCGTCAGGGTGAGTGTCAGTCCTTTTAAATAAAGTTGCATAAATAGTTGTTTTGGAGCAAAGAGCTGTCGCCCTCATATCCTATTCCACACTTAATATTTGCACAGTACTTGAGTTTTTATCACACCAGCCCTGGAAAACCAGCTTTGCAAAGGTATGATGTCATGGAAAGGAATGTGGTACGACTTCATGTTGAAACTGTGAACTACTTCAAGCGCCAGTTTGCATGGTGTCCTGCAAAATGTCCTGTACCTCTGTGCTTCCCCAGAAATCTGGAGCAGCCTGCCCTGTCTCCATTTTCTGTGCAGACCACCCCTCGATCCCCGCTCCTCCCTCATTGTCCAAAGTGTTTCGTCCCCATTTCCTGCTGCTCACGCTTCTGTAGGAGGCACAGCTGGTGGAGAGAGGGGCCTCTGGCTGCAGAGGGGTGCTCACGGAGTCCCCAGCCTTTTGGGGAAAGCTTGGCGCTTCCGTTCAGCCCTGGCTGGCCTGTCTGAGTAAGTGTCAAGAAGTGCACTAGGCTTCCTGGTCTCTTCAGTTTGTCACCAGTGGACCATTTATTTTCCATTTTCTCAATTTTGTTGCTGTCTGTCATCCGTAGTTCCTTCTTGCAGTCCTTTTGGGATTTGTGCGTTTTTTAGTCCTTCTGTCATTTGCTGGGAGTGAAGGTAATGCCTGTTTGACCTGCCCTGCGTAGACTGGGAGAAGTTGTTTAATCTTTGTGCACTTGCATTGATTGATCTGTAAAACGTGGGTGAGAATGTCCAACTTGCAGGTGATTTGAGGGCGCTGTATGCCTAGCAGATTTGTAGTAAACAGTGGCAGCTCGCGTTATTCCCGCCATAGCACTTGTTATGTGAGCAAACGACAATAGCCATGGCTTAGGGAGGTGGGCGCATTTCTTGTGTGCTGAATAAAGTGGGTAAGACAGAAGAAAGAGATTTTTTTTTAAGCAAGAGATTTTGGAAATGGGGACAATTATTAGCTTGGCTTTAGAGATGTTGAACTTCAATGCCGCCAGAGTACCAGGGGGAACACATTATAAAAGGGGTTGGAATTCTTGCCTGGCCCCCAGGGGGTGGGAGGGCGGAGGTAGATTTGGTTTAGAAAGCCCTGGTTTTTATATCCCAGGGAGATACGGTTTGGGAAGACCAAAGGGCTTCCACCTTGCCATATACCAACGTTAAGAGCGTGTTAGGAAAGGGAGCCGCCTGGTTGCAGAGAGCTAAGGGGGTGAAGGGGAGAGAAGGTGGAACTTATTGTCAAGGGTAGTTTTATGGACGATTAAGCAGGGAGCATTTTCAAGGTCACTGCTGGGCTGTGGCCGAGTCTGGCTAAGACTGGAAGGTCTTATGCCTCCAGCTAGAGGCGTGATCCTTTGCAAGAGTCTGTCCCAGTTGGGCCTCCAACTTATTGCCTTATTCGTTTAAAAAAAATGCTTGCTTAGAGGCTTGGGATGTGGTTGTTGGCAATGCATTTTATGGTGGGGTCTTGAATTCAGTGATAAAATTTAAATTAAAACAAGCCCAAAATTATGGGTTTCTTTACTTTCACTAAACAGGGAATTGAAATACATGGTATCCCCCCCCAAAAAAGGTAAGATTATTTTTAAATAAAATGCACAGAATAAATATTCAATTTAAATTTCCATCTATGATGATTTCACAATGAAATCCTAGTTTCCTTCTAAAAAACCAAACTAACAAAAAATGCCGCCGTACCCTTTTGAGATTTTATGTCATGTGCATCCAGGCACTGGCTGCTGCATCTGGGAGAACTGACTGTCTAACAGGTGGGCCTCCGGTGAGGACGCCGGGTAACCGTGAGGGTGTTTTCTAGAAGCGCACACCGTGAAGTCCTAAGAGAAGCACTTTTCTCTTTATTGACTTTGCGGGTACATATGCCTTAAGCCATTTGGCCGAGGCCTGAGGAGAAGCCTTTGGATTGGCCATTAGGAGTTGTTGGATGACTTCTGCGCATATAATAGGAGTCGGGGAATGAAGTTGGGAGCCTATGTGTAGCGAGCGGAGTAGAGGGTTGATGAGCCGTAGATGGGAAATGGGTAGTGATGACACAGGAACTTCAGGGTTGGAAAGCTTTTTGTGAGCAAAGTCAGCTTCATTACCTTAGATGGGGGCAGGCAGGCATCGTTGTTAGAGAAGTGGGATGAAGTGACCTTTCTGGAAAGCCACTCTTGTGTCCTCATTTTGACCTGGTGACAACTTTTCTGCAGAATGGGAACCTTTAATCTAGCTGAGCCCTAGATGCCAGACATAAGAGCTGTCCTCTTGAAATATGTCTTGGGAAATTTCCACTTACTTAATTTCTCTAACAGCCAAGAAGTTCCACTTTGCTCTGGCTTTGTGCCTTGAGGACAGTGCTTGTATACTAACTTTTTCCTGAATTTATTTGGAACTTCTCCAGCCCTTACACTTTCTGCTCCAAATTAAAGACATCTAGTCTTTATCCAACTTGAGAGGAGGCAGAAGCAATTTTCCTTAAGTTACAGCAGATCATGTTTAATTAGTGTTCTAACATGTGTATTCGGATTCATTTCTTTTACAATGCATTCTACCTGAAATAACAGCCTAATTCCCAGTACTGTATTCCTATATTGTGATCTTTATCTGTTTTTTTTTTTTTGCATTTTAGTTCTGCCCCCTGAAGTGATACATTAAACAACCCAACTCTTTTCTTTATGGACAAACATTTTAAGTGCCTTTTATAGGTAAGTGTCTTATTGCAGGTAGATATCATCACGCTTGCTTCTTTTAAGGACCCCATTAAACACAACAGAGAACAAAACATCTTTACTCCCAGGGCTAGCAGTTTCCCGAGTCTGTTCACTGAACCATCACAGCTCATGGTTGTAATATTAATAAAGTCTCATGACTGGAGGAGAGAACGGGAAATAGCAATGCCAAGTAAAGAAGAAAGTTTTGAGAGTGTTATGAACTACACAAATGGATCACACGTAATATACAAATGGTGCAGACATGTATTGACCATTTCTTGGAGGTCCAGATTCCTTTAGGAATCTGATGAAACCTTTTGTACTCTTTCCAGAGAAAAGCTGAAGCTCACATGCTTCCGTCCATAACGCATCCTCATTTCACATGTGGTTCTAGGTGCATTCATCCCCTGCAGCTCCTTCGTGGACTCCCACTTAAGCACACTGTATATGTACACTGTCCAATATGTACTCATGTACCAATATAAATTTAAACTAACTGAAATGAGACAAAATTAAAAAGTCAGATCCTCAGTTGGACCAGCCACATTTCACGTGCTCTGTGACCATGTGAGGTTAGTGGATAACGTATCGGACAGCACACTATAGAATGTTTCCATCAATGCTGTCCGATATTGCTGGTCTTTGTTTTCACGATAGTGTAAGATTTATTGGGTTGGCCAAAAAGCCCATGTGTTTTTTCTCTGTAAAATAAAAGACACGTTTTTCATTTTCACCAATAACTTTATTGACTTGGATATTTTGAGTGTGTCGGCCATCCCCCACTATTGGCGTCTAGTGGGTAGGGGCCAGGGGTGCTGCTAAACATCTTCCAGTGCAGAAGACAGCCCCACAGCAAAGAAGTGTTTGGCCAAAATGTTAGTAGTACCAAGAAACTTTGCAAACCACTTTTGACATGTTCGATCAATAATCAGTCACAGTGCCTTCTCCACACACTGCACAAATCTTTTTTTGGGGTTTCAGTTGTGTTTGTACCTTTCTTGAAATAATAAAGCATAATATGCCCAAAATGTTGCATATTTTCTTCCATCTTCAATATTAAAATGGCTGCACAAAGATTCACCAATTTTGATAAGTTTTTTTTTTAAATGCTCGCTGATATGACAGCTGTCACAATACAATCTAAGACAACTTTCAAATGAAGTCAAAGACAACTAAGCACTACTAAAGCCTTCATACGGAAAAAACTAAACGAGCTTTTCGGCCGATGCAACAGTTCCTTAATTAACCAAGTCTGTTTTTTCCTCTTGTCTGTCCCACTCTCTCCACAACTGTTAATGATTAGTTAGTAAACCCAGCTACAGACATGCCTTGTTTTAAGCAAAATTGTGAGCATGTATTTCCTAAAAGTTTACTCATATGACTCATCTTCACAAAAGAAACATAATGGAATGAGTTCTTTAAATATTGTAGGTTGAGCTGCTGTGATGTGATGTGTGGTTTGCTTTCAGTTTTTTCCTTCTCTAGCTGTCTCTGTGAGGTACTGCTCAGTGATCCTCTAGATAATTTATTTCGTCTGTCAGGCTGTGCCTCCAAGTTGGTCTATTCCAGTGGTATTTTGTTTAATTCTTCTTCCCCCACGCCATCCCCGGCCGACTTCTTGTAGTAGAGATAGACTTACTGACTTCCTTGACTTGCTTCTTGCCCATACATTTCAGCAGGACAGTCAGAAAGGCTTAGAAACACAGAGTGGAACTAATTAGGCTAAGCGAGACATACCTATATTAGCATATTATAAGGAAATAAGTACGGTTCCAGTGAAAAGTGAAATAATTGAGAGATTATCCATGTTTTTACTTCCTTGGTTAGTTTCTCTGAGCCTCAGTTTCTTAAGCTGTGAAATGAAATTAGCGGTATGCCTCTGACTAGGACACTCAGGGTGAATGCAAAAGGAATGCCTGATTTTGAAAAAAAAAAAATCTGTTCCTAAATTTATACCAGGAGTGATAAATTCAATTTAAGTGTTTGGAAGTAAGAACTAGTCAGGGGCCACAGTGCGTGTTTCACAATCTGAAATTTTGAGAAAAGCAGTACACAAACCCAGCCTGTTTCCCTTAGGCTGCTTGTTAGAGAAATGTTGTTGTTTTTGTTTTCAACCACCAGCTCCCTGTTACAGTCAGTGGTGCTTATTTTAAAGTGCTTTTCTTATTAGACTTGCAAGTAAGAATTGATTTTTTTTGTCTCTTCCCATACATTTTAGTAGACCTCAAAAATAGAGTGGGGGAAGAACTGATTGATCAGAGAAACAAAGAATTGTAAGTATGGAAAGTACAAGTGGAAAAATAAAAATAGAATAACAAGAATAAAGGAGGAAGTCATTTACTTTCTTCCCAGTTTAGCACTTCTTTGGTACCTCACCGTGTGTAAAGCTTGGTGAGAGATGTTGCAGAACAATAAAAGAAGGAACGAATGATGGCATTACGTGTTGTGTGTCCTTCCCAGGGAGTTGAACAGACTCATACACGACTGACTGGTTAGAGCGTAAGTGGATGAGAGCTGCAACAGAGGTGGAAATGATTAGGGCAGAGGGAAAGATTCGGCAGGGGAGGAGGCACAGGCTTCTTGGGTGAGGGACCTAAGCTGGGCCTTTGGAGGACTAGGGTTTTCATAGCTGTCCAGGCGTAGGGCGGGGCCTCCCGCGCCACGGTAAGGGCCTGATCAAAGGCAAGACAGTAAATGCCTGTGACAGGTTTGGGGATGGTGGCTTGTAGGGATATAATTGCGACAGGCTTGTAAGTGAGGTTGGATAGCTCTTCGGATGCCATGCTCAAAATCTTGTATCATGAAAATAATGAAATAAATGGGTTTAGCTCCCTGTAAGAATGGAGACAATTAGATCTATGACCAGTAAAAATGTCTTATCTTTTTAAAAAAAGATTTATTTATTTTTAGACAAAGGGGGAGGGAGGGAGAAGGGAAAACATCAATGTATGGTTGCCTCACGCGCCCCCTACTGGGGACCTGGCCTGCAACCTAGGCGTGTGCCCTGACTGGGAATCAAACTGGCGACCCTTTGGTTCACAGGCCAGTGCTCAGTCCACTGAGCCACACCAGCCAGGGCAAAATGTCTGTCTTTAACTAAACATTCCTGTTAAAGATTTCTCCATGCTTGGGTCTGACTCCCTCTTGGTTTATTGTGGTATATGGCTCTGGAAACCAGCAAGGGGTCCGAGGCAGGCCAGAGAAAAGGCTACTACCAATAAACTATCCGTAAACAATTGATAGTGCAAGATAAAAGTCCACAATAGAAGAGTTGGAAGAGTAGTATTATGAAAAGGGAAGGGTTGACATACAAGGCTGTTTTTATCTTTAGTTTTGAGGTATCTGCTGAAAACATGGTTCATTTTCCTTCCTGCCAGTGACCTACTTATCCAGGTTCCCATTGAGATGAGTGTGTGCCACACAGGTGTGTTGGTGCCAGCACTTGGTACTGTAATCCTAAAATAGTATCTGTTATGCTTGTAACTGGTTTATGTAAAAGGACAGTGCTGCAGGGACAAGGAGATTATTTGTGGCTCTGTGTAAATCTAATTTTAGGGTCTTTTTGCTAATAGGACCTTAGGCCATATATGTGTGTACCCATAAATATATCTATATCCATCCATATATCTAACTCGCCATAAACTCCATCTTTCTAGTATACGAGGTCTGTCCAGAAGGTATCCAGCCATGTACTATGAAAAATGGAGATATTATCGAAGAAGATAAAAGGTACAAGAAACATGGCACATAGGACAATGACGCCTCAGTCCCCTTCAAAGCAGGCACCTTGGGACCTCACACAGCTCTCCCAGTCCCCATCAGCTGCCCTGTAGTATTTTCCTGAATCTCATCAATGGTCTGAAATCTCTTCCCTTTCAAAGGTGATCTTAGTTTTGGGAGAAGCCAGACGTCGTAGGGCGCCAAATCTGGGCTGTAGGGAGGCTGAGTCACCTGGGTCATTTGATGTTTTTGCCAAAAAAACTGCACGGGATGTGATACGTGAGCGGGCTCATTGCTGTGATGAGCTGCCAACCACCAGGCGCCCGTAGCTGCAACCTTCAGAATGATCCAAGTAGTTTCCACGGAGGAATGTTCAAGCTTAATGCAAAATCTGATGCCGGTTTGTTGCTCTACTCAGTGACTGGTACAGTGAGGTTGTCATTGTTCACATACGTGCATTCCAGTCCACTCTCCTTGACTGCCTCAATGTTACGCAGACCTTTATGTTATGGTAACAATGGTTGGGCTCTTCTCAGACAGACCTCATACACAATTCATTGGTTTTTAGTATATTCACAAAGTTGTGCAGCTGCCCCCACTCTCTAATTCCAGGATATTTTCACCTTCCCCCCAAAAGAAACTGTACGCATTAGTGGTCACTCCCAGTTTATGTCCCCTGCCCCGACATGCCCTGAAACCGCAGATCTGCTTTCTTTCTATGGATTTCCCTATCGTGAACATTTCATACAAATTGAATTATGTTTGTGGCCTTCTGTGTCTGGCTTCTTTCACTTATTGTAATGTGTGCAGGGTTCATCCATGTTGTAGGGTCAGTACTTCATCCCTTTTTATGGCCGGTCTCACATTGTATAGGTATGCCTCTTACCCACTTACCAGTTGATGGACATTTGGGTCGTCTCTGCCTTGGGACTATTATGAATAGTGCTGCTATAAACATTCACAAATAAGTTTTTATGTGGATGTATGTCTGCATTCTCTTAGGCATATGCCTAAGAGACGAATTGCTGGGTCATATGGTAACTCTCTGTTTAACTTTCTGAGGACCCACCAGGCTGTTCTTCATTATCATCGCATCATTTTACATTCCCATCAGCAGTGCATGAGGGTTACAGTTTCTCCACAAGCTTTTCAACACTTGTTGTGATCTGCCTTTTTGATTTCTAGACATCGTAGTGGGTGTGAAGTGATGTCCCCAAGTTTTTATTTGCATTTCTCTACTGGCTATTGATGTCGGCCATTTTTGCTAATTTTTAAGTTGGGTTATTCATTTATTTATTTACTTTTAGAGAGTTTCTTTATTTATTTTTAGAGAGAGGGGAAGGAGGGAGAGAGAGAGAAAGAGAGGGAGAGAAACATTGATGGGCTGGAGAAACACTGACTGGTTGCCTCTTGCACGCCTCCAACTGGGGACCTGGCCCACAACCCGGGAATTGAACCTGTAACGTTTCAGTTCGCAGGCCGGCACTCAGTCCACTGCCCACACCAGCCAGGGCAGGCTATTTATATTTTTTTTATTGCTTAGTTGTAAGAGTTCTTTATATATTCTGGATACAAGTACCTTATCAGATATTTGGTTTCCAAATATTTTCTCCTATATGTTGTCTTTTCACTTTCTTGGTAGTGTTCTTTTAAGCACAAAAGTTTTTAATTTTGATGAAGTTTAATCAATTTACTTTTTGTTTTGTTGCTTGTATTTTTGGTGTCATATCGAGTTATTTTTAATATCAGAGTTGTAGAAAAGTTTAGGAAACAGTTGTTCCTGAGGTCTGGTGCATAGTAGCATTTAAAGAAAATTTAAAAGAAGATGATTTTGCCCTGATTGGTATGGCTGGTTGGCATCATCCCATTGACCAAAAGGTCTCTGGTTCGAATTCCGGTCAGGGCACATGCCTGGGTTGTGGGCCAGGTCCCCAGTTGGGGGCGTGTGAGAGGCAACCAACTGATGTTTCTCTCACACATCAATGTTTCTCTCCCTTTCTTTCTCCCTCCTTTTCTCCCACCCTTCCCCTCTCTCTAAAAATAAATACATAACCTTAAAAAAATAAAAGATTTCCATTTCATTTCATTGCAGCATTCAGTCAAGCTAGACTTTAACTGAAAGTGAAGATATTGATCCATTTTCATAGTTTCGATATTTAAAAAAACAGTATGACTTTGCCACCAAGTCACAACTTTGAAGATTGAACTTGGTTTTGATTATTTTATATTTTCTCGAGGACTTCAATATAAATCTGTAAGCGTTTACAGGTTGTGATCACGGTGTGCCTGCTACTTGGGTTTATCACTCAACAGTATATTTCTGTACTCCCATGTCTCCATATAGACATTTAGGTCACTTCCAGAAATCCTTCCTTGGCTTCTAAGGCCCTGCCTGCTCCAGGCCTCCCTTCAGTCCCATCCGCACAGAACTTCCCTCCCTCTCTGGACTCCAGGTGCTCGGGCCTACCCTGGACTCGCCCAGCTGCCAGCTGCCTGGCGCATGCCAGGCTGCCTTGGCAGGACCTTGGCCTGGGCTGGCCCCTCTTCCTGGTTCTGGCTCCCTCCCCTCTTCTAACAGTTTTCTTCTGCCACTGAGCTCAGCTTCTAGTCAAACCCACTTCCCCCGGGTCAGATCCACCTGCAGGGCAGCAGACCTTGGTAAAAGGCTGTGTTCTAAGTCTGCGTGCGGCGAACGTGATCATGGAGACGCTGCTTTGGGGACAGCCTACACTGGAAAGGGGTGTATAGTCTCTCACTAATACTGTTGAACACAGCCAGATTCCCTCCGGCATTGGAAGTTACTGCTGTTTCTTTGGCCGAGTGGCAGATGAAGTAGCTGGCTATGTCACAGAATTGTGGTGTAGGAAATGGACACCATCCCCCCATGGGTGGGATCACACCCAGCTCTGGGATACTCCTGAGATGCTCGGATGAGGGGCAGGTTTACACATTGCATCTGTCACCAAGGAAGATGCTGGGTAGAATCCCCTGTACTGTGGAGGTAGTTCTTTGGTTTTTGATTGAATGAGAATTGTTGCATTTTATACCAAGTACAGACTCTCATTTGTAAGACTCACCACCATTGTAATGCCATGGCTTTGGGTGTGTATTGTCACCTCGTCCATCTACCAGCTCTCTCAGCCTGGGTATGCGCTTGTGTCCTCAGCACCTGGCGCACAGGAGGCGCTCAGACTGGGTGTGGCTTCCGTCCTCGGTGTCTGGCACACAGTAAGCACTCTATAAGTGCTTGTTGAAAAACTGCTTTCCCACCTCTGGGGTGATACTTGATAGAGTTCTACAAACATTTGCTTGACGTTTCATTTAAAACATGTTGAAGCTATTAAAACTCTAATGAAACTTAGGTACACTCAGATGTGCTTTATGCTACATACCAATGGATTGCCTGCTGTCTGGTTAACTTCATTTTGTGCGGATCTTGAAATAAAGTGAACCGTTGAAAGACTTACCATTGCAACTGCTTATTTTCATTGTACCCACGACAGCAACAGGAAAACCTGCAGAAATAAATGCCAAGGACCTGAGCCTAGTGGGCTAAGTGCTGGGGTTTAGAGAAGTGTGCCACTTTTTTTTTTAAGTCATTTCCACCTTTTACTAGCTGTCTGACTTTGAGCAAGGTGCGCCACTTCTCTGAGTCAGTATCCTCATCCGCAGTGTGGGGATGAAGAGAGACTTGTGAGGAGTGAGTGCACTGAAGCAGAGTAAGTGGCTCTCAGGGCTTAGTCAGTGTTGGCGTCGTCGTTACCACGGGCACGCCTCATTTTATTGTGCTGTGCTTTATTGCACTCTGAAGATAGTGCAGTTTGGTACAAATTGAAGGTTTGTGGCAACCATTAGCAAAAAGAGTGACTTGCTGAAGGCTCAGAAAATGCTTAGCATTTTTTAGCAGTAAAGTGTTTTTTAACTAAGGTATGTCCATTGGTTTTTTAGACATAATGCTACTGCGCACTTAGTATACTACAGAACAGTGTAAACATGAGTTGTACGCACTGGGAAACCCCCCAAATTCACGTTACTTGATCTGTTACGACATTCACTTTGTTGCGATGGTCTGAAACTGAACCCTCCATATCTCTGAGGTGTGCCTGTATTATTACTACTGTTTTATCCTTAACTCCAAAATATCGAGGCTTGGAATCTCATTTTTCTCATTGATTGAATTGATAAGTTAAGAACTGCTACAGGTAAGTCCCACAAAAATGCCCTCTACTGTAAGGAGGGGCAAGGGGCTTGAAACCATTGGTTTAGGTGGAGAGAGGCCGGTGCTTTGGCGCCAGGGAAACCTTCCCATTGAATTTCATCTCTAGGGCTGGGAACCTTTGGCTTCCCCTGTCTGCCTGCATAATCCTCTTATTTGTTCCACCCAGAACTCGCACTGAAATTTGACTAAAGCCATCGTCATAAAAGAAACCTTCCTGTCATACCGCCAGTAAAGACTTCTTCCTGTATTCATTCCACAGAAACTTCCTGCACTCCTAGGATGAGCCTGGCACAGTGCTGAATCTCTCTCCTCATTGTCTGCATCTGGAGTAAATCTTTCCAAAAGTTTGAGAGGTAGGTACTGTTGACACCCTTGTCCCGTGAGCTTCAGGATGTCAAGTAGATTGCCCGTGGGTCAGCGTTCTTGGCCTTGGACACCAGGAACCAATTCTCTTTTCTGATAGTGGCTTTTATTTGGTTCGCCAGAAAGTTTTCACCTTGGCCTTGGCTGTCCAGAAAGAAGCTTCATGACACTCTTTGCTGCCTTAGCCCGACTTTTCCTGTATCCAGTTGGGGCCCTTCCCTCTTATGGCCCTTCCTTTTTCCTTCTTTGTGTTAGCATTAGTTTATTCTCTGGAATATGATTATTCTAAGCCACTAAAAATGTGGGCAAATGTCGAAGAGTGAATGAAATATTTTACATTTCATCCTAACAAAATTTTATAGCTGTCTGAGTGAAAGTTGGAAAAGAAGAGTAGGCAAGTAAAATACTTCTAGAAAAAAAACAATGATTAAAGTGTAGTATTTGAGTCCAGGAGCTTTACGCTGAAAAAGGTCATGGGCAGCTTTGAGGTGTAATTTCCTTTTTAAATTAAAAATTTAGCCCTGACTGGTGTGGCTCAGTTGTCTGGGCATCATTCTGCAAAGCAAAAGGCTGCCGGTTCTATTCCTAGTCAGGGCACACGCCTGGATTGCGGGTTTAGTCCCTGGTCAGGGTGCGTGTGAGAGGCAACTGATTGATGTTTCTTATATCGATGTTTCTCTTCTTCTCTTTCTCCTTCCCTTCCCCTTTCTCAAAAAATAAATAAAATCTTAAAAAAAAAAGAATTTAGCCTTGGCTGGAGTGGTTCAGTGGATTGAGCATCGGCCTACAAACCAAGGGGTCGCTGGTTTGATTCCCAGTCTCAAGGCACATGCCTGGGTTGCGGGCCAGGTCCCCAGCAGGGGGCGTGCAAGAGGCAACCACACATGGATGTTTCTCTCCTCTTTCTCCCTCCCTTCCCCTCTATTTAAAAATCAATAAATAAAATCTTTAAAACAAAAAGAATTTAGCTGCTAACGGGAAGTCACATCTTTCACATTTTAATTCTTGTGTTTACTCTTAAAATTATGAAAACAGATTGTACATTGCTGAGCTGAGCTTTCTAATTTTTTCTTTGCAGATGATGATACTTGAACTGAACAATTAAGGTCAGGTTTATGACCTATGTAGTATGCTTTTCTTATTCAGATTTCCTTATAGAATTTAGTTGAATTGCTAAAATTGTATTTTAACCTTGGTGAAGATTGTTGCATTTGGGCAATCATTCCAAACTGTGGATTATAAAAGACTTGACATTCTATTGTAAGGTAAGTTCAGAAAATAACATAGCAGGATATTTTTATTCATTCAGCTTGTACTAAAGAAGTTTTGAAGGATTTTATTATTTTCACAAAAGAAAAAGGAAACATTTTAAATGTCTATAAACTGATTATGGTTATGTTAATGTATAGATTACATGAAACTACTTTTTGTGAGATGTCATTGGGAAATGAGATGGTTTATACAATTACCTACATCACCATGTATGTTTATATGCAGTACTGTAGTTAGAATCAGAGAGGTGTTTGTATATTTGTTGTTTTAGTCAATGCCAACATACTCCCAAGTAGGATATCTGGAAGCCCCAGATTCTAGGTGGGAAACGTGGGCATTGTGCCCTAATTCCTGGTGTGTGAGTCTGGCATTCCGCAAATTTGCTTGGTCAGCGTCATGTCACAAGCTAGGACATCGCACATCATGGAAAAAAAGAAAAGGACTATCAATGTGCCATAAGGGAGTCATAAATGACAAATGCCAAGGGATTTCGAACACTGTATTTGGTAGACATATGCAGCCAGTCATCTGAGGGGAGGTTGTTGGATTGCAAACTCTGGTTTATAATTTGATGTAGAGAACCTAACAGTGCAGTGCTGTACAATGAAACTTTATATCTGGTAAGGCAGTTATAGACCTATTAAAATACTGGGATGCGTGAATTGTATCCCAGTCCGTACATGCACATGGATGTGTATCTAGATACCTGTATCTAGTCCATACGTGAATGGGCTAGAATTACGCACATCTGTCGTGCAACCTGGCCCTTTTGTGGTCACATACCGTGAACGCTGTGTGGAAGGAGCAGCCTTGGGATGGCGCTGCTGGGGACGGTTTCCAGTGTTGGCGATGACCATGCCGAGCAGCTCTGCGGGCCCGGTGGTCGGTCAGCGGCGAGCCAGGTGCAGCGGGGTGGGATCACCGGCAGAGGAACAGTCTGTGCCAGGGCGAAGGCAAGGGAAAGTGTGTGCGCTGAGCGAGTGGAGTTGAATTTCAGCTGCCTCTGACCGTGCTTTTCCGAAGGACGGAAGCCGAGAACGGGGAGCGGGGCCAAGTGTCTTGCCTCAGAAGCCGGACTTGGGCTTGCATCTGTGGAGGACTACTGAAGAATGTTAAGGAGGGGGCATTCAACAGCTCCTTTCCCTAAGTCAGAGTAGTCGGTGTGCTCTCTTGCTTGTTTCTCTTTTTTCTGTTAGATGAAGTTATTTGAGCAAGATTGCAAAGAATTAAACAAAGGAACCTGTTTAGTACATTGTTATATAAGGCAGGAAATTAAAAGGCTTGAGACTGTTGCAGTGTCCTCTTGAACATTTAGCTGGGCCTTGAGCCGAGGGATCCATTGGCAGTCAGAACTCTCCAAGAGGTGTGCACCCTAAGTGCTTTTGTTGACCAATTTAAATTGTACTAATCATTAGTGGTAATTACTATAGTAGCAATTGAAAAGAGCCAGTAGGAGTCAGGGACAAGTTGCTACAGGTTTTACCAGAACAGTATAGCATGTATTTGGAAACACACAATCCTTGCACGTTATAGGAAGTGTTCAGTTACATTACACTGGGTCACATTTGCATATAACCAGGAGATAGTCAGATAATGTTTACTGCAGTGATTCTGCGCATTCATCCTAGTAACACCACAGCTATTGTTTGTGTCTTTATTACCTTCTCATTGAGGGATTCATAACATCTACTCTCATGTTCACGGTAATTACCGTTTTTGTTCTGGAGCTGTGCTGTCAAATGTAGCTGTTGGCCCTCTAAATATGGCTATTCAATTGAGTTCAAGTTAAATACGTTTTAGAATTCCGTCCCTCACTCCCTGCAGCCCTATGCCAAGTGCCCCGCAGCCACGTGTGGCTGGTGGCTGCTGTCGGATGGACACTGCTGGTCGAGGGCGTGGTCGCCACTGGCGCAAGTTCTGTTAGTGCTAATGGGAAGCCTGTCTTCTCTCACGACCTTTAATATGCTAAACCCCCTTATGATCGACATATTTCTAGATTAAGTGATATAATGTGATTTAAAGTAACTGGGGAGAAGGGAGAGTTGGGAGTTAAGGAGGAAATAGGATTTGCCATAAGTTGATAATGGGTGAAGGTAGGTTTAGGGTCCATGGGGCATCATTATATTATTATGATTATTCAGAGATTTTATATGTGTTTGAAATATTCCATAATAAAGAATTAAAACAGGAGCTTAAATAGGAACAACACTTAGGAGCAGCCGTCTGTCTATAAATGGGCAGCAGAAATCCCTCCCACCAGGCTGGTGCCTGCAGTGTAGGAAAGTATTTAGTCCTGCCCCACGGTTTCTACGTGTAGCACCACGTTTTTATTTAAGGTATACTTGCTTCCCCCTCGAAACTCACAAGTAACAGCACAGGCTTGCACTTGTTAAGTTGGAACTGCCCAGATGAGTCTTGTGGGTAGAATGTGCTGTATTACAGTATTATATTAAAAATTCCATGCCCTGGCTGGGTAGCTCAGTTGATCAGAGCATCGTCCTGATACACCAAGGCTGCGAGTTTGAGCCTTCGTCAGGGCGCATACCAGAATCAACCAACGGATGCGTAAATAAGTGGAACAACAAATTGATGTTTCTTTCCCTCTCCCTCTCTCCTCCCTTCTCTTTCTCTCCCTCCCTCCCTTTCTGTCTCTAAAGTCAATATAAAAATTAAAAAATAATTGAGTGCGGGCTGCAAACCAAAGTGTCGCAGGTTCAATTCCCAGCCAGGGAACATGCCTGGGTTGCAGGCCATGACCCCCAGGAACCGCACATTGATGTTTCTCTCTCTCTTTCTCCCTCCCTTCCCTCTCAAAAAATAAATAAATAAAATATTTAAAAAAAATTAAAAAATAAAATATAAAAATCCCATTGCTACTGACATATAATGTTGGCAAACTCCAAGTAGTGTTCCTAATGAAGAGAATAGAGTTCATTTACTCAGCGTTTGGCTTATTTTTGTTCACTGCCAAATCAGTCAGCTTCTGTCCCTGGTCTCCCGGTTACCAGCTCCTATGGTGATAGCATTGGAAGAGAAGAAGCGGGTGTCCTTGACAAAACCCCTGGCAGGAGGGGAAAGCCGTCGGGGAACACTGTCACTGTGTCACCAAAAGGCTGTTTGAAGTTGTCACAGAGACTTGCCTGCTTCAGTCTCCTACTGCGTCTCTAACAAATGGTGGCAGGGCTTTTTGTGAGTAGAGAGAAATGGTTGAGAGCAAGGTGCCTGGGGTCAGACTCGGCCTTAAGTGCCAGCTTCCGTGAGCGGAGACCCAGAGGAGGGGTGACGGCGGACCGGTGGGCCGTGCCTGCTGCGCGGTGGAGCGCTCCCTAAACGCAGCTCTCACTGTTGGGTTGTCCCTGTGCAGAAAGCCATCGGGTTCTGCGTTTATTTCCCTTAAATGCCGATGTGCATAGACTCCTGTAGAGCAGAGTACAGGTCGAAGGGAATGTAATGGTACCTTTTTATTTTACAGGGTTCTGAAGTCAAAGATCTTGAGATTAATAATGGCAGGAAAATCATCACTTTTTAAAGTGATTCTCCTCGGAGATGGTGGAGTTGGAAAGAGTTCCCTAATGAACAGATACGTGACTAACAAGTTTGATGCCCAGCTCTTCCATACCATAGGTGTGGAATTTTTAAACAAAGAGTTGGAGGTAGATGGACATTTTGTTACCATGCAGATTTGGGACACGGCTGGTCAAGAGAGATTCCGAAGCCTGAGGACACCCTTTTACAGAGGTTCTGACTGCTGCCTGCTCACCTTTAGTGTCGATGATTCTCAGAGCTTCCAGAACTTGAGTAACTGGAAGAAAGAGTTCATATACTACGCAGATGTAAAAGAGCCCGAAAGCTTTCCTTTTGTGATTTTGGGTAACAAGGTCGACATAAGCGAACGGCAGGTGTCCACAGAAGAGGCCCAAGCCTGGTGCAGGGACAACGGCGACTGCCCTTACTTTGAGACAAGTGCAAAAGATGCCACGAATGTCGCAGCGGCCTTTGAGGAAGCGGTTCGAAGAGTGCTCGCCATGGAGGATAGGTCAGACCACCTGATTCAGACAGACACCGTCAGTCTGCACCGAAAGCCCAAGGCTAGCTCCTCTTGCTGTTGATCATTAGGCTGCCCCGTCATTCTAACCAACTCACACATACACGCAAATAAACGCGGGGGGAGAAGAGAATTAGCATTTGCAGCAGTGGATCATCTACTCATAAAATTAAACTAATCATTGCTGCTTCGTGATTGGGTGGGGGAAGGGACACACCACTCGCAGAAGAACCTATTTACTCAGTAATGGCATCTTACATTTATAAATTGTAACGGTTGTCTAATAACATTTAATTTAAATATGTAAGTTACAGTGCTAATAGATGACCAAGACTTTAATTACCATTAAAACAAAACACTTGAATATTCTAGAAATATTGCTCTTTTCCTGGGAAAATGGAGAACTACTTTTTATATATGTATATTTTTATGTAATTAGCATTCTATTCCTGGTTTGGGGGTAAAAGTTTCCTAAAGCAATAATGTTAGATATTAAAGATTAAAATTGAATGCATTTGCACCGCAGTGAGTTACTTCTTCATTCTCTTCGGAATTGTGTGCACATTTCTGTCCCACACGTCAGAATCGATCCCGCCGGCAGTCGCTCGTCATCTGTGTGCCGCATGTTCCCCGCGCCCCCCCCCCCCGGCCCCCGGAGGCAGTGTTATCATTCTCAGGGAAAATGGGGGGGGTTGTGGTGTGTGTGAAGGTAATAGAAGGCTATTTGGTCTTGTATGTATTTAGTGTCTTCTCTTCCACTGAACATGGTGTAGTGATTTGCTCTCAAGATTCTCCATCTTGCCGCAATGACCAGTCTTCCTGATAAATCAAACGGTGGTCTCTTGTGGGCAAAGTACATGTGCTGCACATTCATGCCGATTCCATCCTCCAGAGGCAAATCAGTGCCGAGACCGTGTGTCAGTGAAGACGGGACCCGGCTATGGAACGGCGGGGTTATCAAAGGACATGCTTGGGGGCGGGGGGTACAGTTTGAAAAACCAAACGGATATATTTTTTTCTCCTGGCTCCACTCATTGGGAACCACTGGAAAAAGTACAATTACAGTAAGCTAAGCTTTTGAAAGTTTCATTTCCTAACATAACAATTTGGCTATAAGCAAAATGTTTTAACATTTTTAACCTGAGGAAATTAAATTCCTTCATACTCTCAGGTTAGAGAGAGCTCTAGTGTTTATTCTTTGTAATCATCCCCCTGCCCCTAAAAACTAATCTTCCATCCAAAAAACAAAATAGGAACCCACCATTAACAAATTGGTGTGTATTACACATTTTTTATTTTGTTGAGGGGACTTGCTTTAAAATCAGAGATGTACCCATTGCTTTGTGACTTGCCCTTTTCTCAGTATATCCGGACATATTTACATTATAGTAGACGGCTCCTTTGCTTATTAGCTGTGTGGGTATCTAACAACTATTCAAACCCTCCTCCCTCCATAGACTTGGAGCAGTAATTAGGAAAGTGCCAGCTCCCCGCCTTGGTCGATATTGTCTCTACATACATGGAAATTCGGGGCAACAATGAAGCATTCTACACATCACATTTCAAAATGCTAAGGCACAAGGGACATATGTCCCTTTGCCACCCAGTTCCTGCCCCTGGAGGTACTGTGTCAGTTTCTGGGGTATCCATCTGGATATTTAGTACCTAAGGAAAGCATATTGTTTTAGTTTGCTAGGTTGCCATAACAACATGCAGATTGTGTGGCCCCAACAATGGGCTTTTCTTTGCTCACAGTGCTGGACGCTGGGAGTCCCAGATCAAGGTATTGATAGGTTTAGTTTCTCCCGAGGTCTGTCCCTCCGGCTTGCAGGTGACCTTTCCTCTGTGTCCTTCCCCACCCCCTATCTACGTCCACATTTCCTCTTGTAGGAGTCCACCAGAGTGGACCAGGGCCACCCAGAGGGGCCCATTCCAACTTAATCACCTCTTGAAAAGGCCCAGTCTCCAAACTACAGCCACAATCTGACGGTGTGGACGGGAACTAGTTCTTCAACATACGGATTTGGAGGGGAGGGGAACAATTTGGCCCGTAACTTGTATGTGTAGGTATTTACAGAATGTACAGTTCTGGTACTTGTATAGATTGAACTAATACCTTAGTGTTTTAGAAACTTGTAAGCATCTTTTCAACGAATCTATTGTCAGATAAATGCTTAAGGATTAGATGAGCTGGCATTCAAGAGGTCTAGGGCTGGACGCCAAAATGATCCAAGGAACAGGACCTGCCTGGTGTGTGTAGACAGGCTCATAGAAAGGAGAGTAATCCAGCTTCCCACGGTGACTTAAAGGGATCTGGCGGACAGCGGCTCATACACCAAATACGGTGTTCAAATGGGATAACCAAGTAGCTTTGTCCTTCAAAGAAACTGCACCTAACTGATGGCAAAGCTCTGCACACAGCAGCAAAAGGTAGCTGAGAATCGGATTCTTTTGTGGCGAGTAAAAGGTGCTTTAGTTGGCCGGTATTACCTATGCACGGGGAAAACAAGAGTTGGGGACCAGAGCAGGGGGTGCGGGAGTGGTGGAAATAGCTGCAGAGCCCCCGAAGCAGGGGGAAGAACTGCCGTTCAGGGAGGGGGCACCTGTTTGAGTTCTGGTGCTCGCAACGGCACACGGGGCCGTCTGTGACAGTGTGCTCTTCCACACTGTCTGTGAATGTAGTAGAGCCTTTCAGTTCAGTGTTAACGGCGGGCTGCTGACCTCGGAGAATGGACAAACGTGTATCTGACTGCTGAGCGCGCAATCACAGTGTGCTGTGCGGAAGATGGGAAGGTCCAGTTGTCAGTGGGCTACCTCAAATTTTAGTCACCTCCTTCATTCACCCTTGATGTTCTTCCTCTTTAGAGGAAACTTTGGTTTACATTTCTGTAAAAACCTGGGTAAGCTTTCAGTGGGGAAATGGGCCTGGGATTCTGAGAAGTCACCCGTGTGGACTAGCCACCAGGAAGCGCTTTTGTGGATGAAGAGAGGACACGGGGCTATCAGGCAGAGATGGGCGGTCTCTGTATATATCCAGGGAACATGGGGGCGCGATGCAGCATTCCAGGGAAGGACAAATCCAGGTGGCTGCATCCGCATCACGCCGGGAGTGCTAACGACGACAGATTTAGTGCTGACATACCTGCGCTCAGTGCGGCCCGATGCCCAGGGTGCTGCCCAGGGTGCTGCCGATGCCCCTCCATTGCTCTTGTGTTCTGGCACCTTCAGTAACGTCACCTACTAGCAGATCTGAGCTGCGCCAGCTCTTCAGCTTTCCCAGTGATCAGCCTGTGGTTCCCCTCCCCCCCACACATACCGGTCCTGGTTCTGTCCCATCAGCTGTCCGATCCTCATACCCAGGGCTGCTGTCCCCCACACCTTCACGCCCAGCAAGCTTTTCTTGCGCAGCCCACCAGCTCCTGTGCTCATCACTGGACTTACTTTCGAGCTCCTTCAAAGATGCAGGCCTCCGTGAGATTCGGTACTTAACTGCTGCAATGTCCTCACTCAGGGCTCCTGTTACCCGTTCCCATCTCACCCTCACATGCCTGGAGAAAAGGACCCCTGTCTGCAGGGCACCGCTGCTGTGCGACTGAGCCGGGACCTGGTCTGTGTCCACCCTAGAACGTCCTACTGCAACACCCTGCTGGTGGCCTGCTGTGTCACAGCCTTCTGTGTTACATGGTCATTGAGGGCAGAGCAAACTATGCATAAAATATGTGTCTGAGTCTCTCTAATGAGCATGGCTGAAATTACTCCTGGATTTCTAGCTGAGGATCTTTTTCTGCTCCCCAAGCTCTGGCACCTAACTCGAGGCAACCCGAGTTCTGTAAACACGGGTACAGACAAGTATTCCAAACAGTAGTGGAGGCAGGAGCAGCCCTTTAAAAACTCGATGTTACCTGGCTAGTGTAGCTCAGTGGATTGAGCACGGGCTGCGAAGCAAAGTGTCGCAGGTTCGATTCCCAGTCAGGGTACATTCCTGGGTTGCAGGCCGTGGCCCCCAGCAACCGCACATTGATGTTTCTCTCTCTCTCTCTCTCTCTCTCTCTCTCTCCCTCTCTGAAAATAAATAAATAAAAATCTTCAAAACAAAACAAAACAAAAAAACCCTCGATGTTAAACTTCCACAATCTTGGACAAACATCTTTATTTAAGAAGTCAAAAAAAAAAATGGATAGGGGAAAAATGATGGTAGTAACTTCAACACAAACATATAAGACCGAACTTACAATTACTTGTGCAAGTTATGCAGAATGGAACAAAACTCTTCAAGTGCTCATGATCAGCACAGGAAATCTGTGGTTATATTACTTGCCTTTTGCTTGACATTTACTGGCTCACAGTAAAACCCCACACATGTTACAGTACAAGAGACCACTCCTGCCCCCTCCGGTGTACAACTTGGAGTGCAAAGGTTAATATAATACAAGCTTTTCTTTGTTTACAACTCTAAAATTGCCTTACAACTTTGTACTAGCACACATTCCAACAGATTAATTTCCAAGGGTGTCCGACCTTTTGGCATCTCTGGACCACACATTAAATACACTGCAACATGCAAGCGCACACTCACACACACAAATCTCATGTTGTAAGTAAATTGACCATTTTGTGTTGGGCGGCATAGCCATCATGGGCTGCATGCGGTCCACGGGCATCAGGTTGGACACCCCTGAATAATATACAGTCTAAGGGAAAGGAAATAAAAGAACACCGCCCGGCACTTTGGGCCCAGTCTCTCATTTTCCAGACATGGATCCTGGATTCCAGAGTGACAGCGGGATCACTGTCCCCAGTTGCAGGCAGGCAGGCAGGCATGTGGCATTGGATGCTGCAAAAGCTGTTTGCTTCAGCACCTTGAGTAATGCTATGCATAGTGCCTATACATTTCTATAACATCCCCGGATGTATAGGTAAGCCCGTGTCCCTACTATCAACTTCACTCCACAACGCAGACGCTTGACTGTCTTCCACATCCTGACAATGGCATTTGGTTCGGGGCTGTTACATCAAGGTCAAGCTATCTGAATGTGGAAGTCAAAAGCTTATTTTCCATTTTTAAAATAAAGGTATTTCAAGGTTATGGATAAAGAACGCCTTATAAATAACTATTCCTCAACAAATATTGATCTACTGCTAATTCTAAGAAAGTGAATGCACTATTTTTAACTATGAAAGTAATTTCATTAGGTTTAGATAGATTGAGACTACAAGTAAAACTTTTCCAGTCTATTTAATCAAGTAACTTACAATGTACACATTCCTGAGTATACCCCATTGTGGTGATTATTTCCGAATTTTCCTGCATTCAGCTTAAAAGGTGTTTCTTCCCCAGAAACTGGACTTTTCTGTCAAATGCACTGGATCGAATAGGAGAATTGGGTTCATAAAAGGGATTCATTGCAAACTAGGAAAGAAGAAAGTATTAGTGAGTTTGTCAGAGTGGAAAGGCTGACAAATCATAGGTCTCTAAATTTTCTTTGCTTAAAATTAAAAGAAATCATCAGACATTCAAAACAAAAGCCTGAAAACTACATTTTTTCATTTTAAGTTCCCACGAAAACGTGCCATTGTTAAACAGTACCTTCCCCTTAAGGATATTTTTGTCTTGGTGTTTCAGTTTTGAGCGGTACCTGTGGTCATATGGTAAGTGTTGCCCGTGTAAGTGAAAATTAACTTTCAGGCTTCACCCTGCGCGTGACTAATCTTACATTCACTGTAAATGTGCGTCAATCTGTAAGGCCCTTTGGCTACATAAAATACAAACTAAATATCTGCCATATGCTCAGAGATAAGAAAAACTTACACCTCAGTGATACTAAGTCACTCGTGTGGTAATTTTTTAATAACCAGGTTTTTAGTTTTCTCCTTTAATGCAAGGTGGTTGATCAGTTTCGCAGATAATGCAATGAGCGTATCATAACATGTCAGAGAAAATTATTAATAACAGATGGAATCACGAATGAGGAAAGGAGTTACCGATTTTCAGACCTTAATCACTTTGCCCACTTTCATAAGAGGGCTAAATATTCTTATTTGCTACTGCTGACTAGGAATAGTGACTGTTGGCTCTGCTGATGTGCCGAAGAATCCTTGTTCAAACACAGAACACTTAAGTGAAGAACAAACTGTTTTTAGCACTGCAGTTTAACCACTGATGTCCTGTTATTTTACTTTTTTCCACTTACCTATCAAGAAATATGGGTGGCACCATTCTCCTTGAGTAACTATTTGATAATATATGAATCACTTCCCACTTGTTTGTGATCTTATTTTTGCGTTGTAACTTATTTGTAAAGTATGTGGAAAATATTTTAGATTACAATTATAAAGCAATTTCCCTTATGGAGAAGACTTCCTTCTCTCTCTCTCCGGTTCCCCAGGAAAATCAACTCTATGCACCAAAAGGGGGAGAAGGAAAGCAATGTAGAAAGGACCACCCTGAGTTCTTTTCCTCGATGCCTGTTACCCTGGTGAGGGAGCTTCAGGGTCGGTTCTGACTGAGGAAGGGCCCGTCTGGGGTGAAAACTGTACTATAAAGGAGTCACTTCGCCAGGATAAGCAGGTTTAAAAAGTTATAGAACATACCATACCTTTATGTATAAATCATAGACATCAGTAAAGAAGTTCTTTATTCCATCTTCTTGCCTTATGTCATGAAGCATAATGAATCTCATATGTGAAACGATTAAGGTATAATCTCAGAAATGAAAAATGCAAAGCAATCAGTTGGCACAGTGTTCTTCAAAGAAGGGACATGCAGTGTGTGTTTTGCGATGGAAAAGTTAAACACAAACTGGGTTCAAAGTAAGGTTAGTTTTATCTTAAAGAGAACATAATCTTTTAAAGTTAAAAAACAACTATAAAATAACCCTGGCTGGTGTAGCTTAGTGGATTCAGTGTGGGCCTGTGAACCAAAGGGTCGCCAGTTGGATTCCCAGTCAGGGCACACGCCTGGGTTGGGGGCCAGGTTGCCAGCAGCGGGTGCATGAGAGGCAACCACACATTGGTGTTTCTCTCCCTCTCTTTCTCCTTCCCCTCTCTCTAAAAATAAATAAATAAAATCTTTTAAAAAATATTGTAAAATAAACCACCCTTGATAGGGTTCAGATAAACCTTATTTTTTATGAGATTTGGTTTTAAAATTGATGTTAAGCAAAATATTTTTTCCCCTGAAAAAGAAAAAGGCAGCCCCATAAATGGCCATTTTTACCTGATCCTTTGAGGTCCACAGACTCAGCCTGGCGTCTGTGTCCCATGTTGTAGCTTGTCACCCCAACCTTCAGTTAGCTAGCTTTATCAAAAAGGCAAGGATATGACCCGCAGTAACAAATGCCGAAACGAACCACTCATTGAACTTGTCCACAGTTTTCAAGTACATGCTGTTGGACAGCCACATGTTCTCATCTACCAGGTCGAGGGCCGCGTGAGCTATGAACTGGTTCAGGTGACGATGGTCGTCCTGGATGACAGTGTGAGCAGCCCCGTGTTAACATCCCCATACCGCGTCAAGACGGGCAACCCTTCCTCCCGTACATTCTCCACACAGTGTTTCTTGGGGGTGGGGGGGGCACTTTCTGCTTTTATGTCACTTCCTGATGGCATCAGACTTACACAAGATCTTGAGTGTTTTCATATCATATTCTACTTTTCAATTTGGTGTCTACAACCCAACAAATAGAAACAGCCAAGTATAGTAGATTAATTATAATATAAATACATGAAAGGTGTTCAAGAAACTATAAAGATTTTTTTTTTAATTTTGCAAGGAAGCTGCCAGATTCTGTAACCTTTTAAGCATGTGGAAAAAAAAAATACTTCACTGAAGGAAAAAATAGGTCCTTCCTTCCAGAAGCTTTTATCTTTTTAGAGGAAGACGGCTACAGAGAGGCGCCGTTGACAAAGGCCTCAAGGAAGGGGGGAAGGGGGAGGCTTCCTATGCAGTGACACCTGGTGAGCAGTGGCGACAGGTGAGGAGGTGGCACTCCTGAAGGGTCGGCATATGCCTCCTTCAGGTGCACGGAGTTTACCTGGTGGGGGACCTGGGAGTGGCAGGAGGCTGTGCTCAGCCCCTGTGGGCAGCTGGTCACCTGTGTGACAGCAGAAGACAGCCCTGGCAGAGCGGGGCTTGTCCCTTCCACGGGCTGAAAAGGCTGCACTGGAGGAGAAGGTGGCCGTGTCCCACCACAGCGCAGAGAGGGAATTCACAACCTGGAATGCGGTCTGAGTGCTGTGGACTTCTTCCTTTCCAAGTGCATTTTTCAAAGGCCGCCTCTTTTGTGGGTTGAATGATGCCCCCAGTACCTTAGAGTGTGGCCTCTTTTGGGAAAGAGGGTCCTTGCAGATGTAGTTAGTTAACATGAGGTCATGCCAGACTAGAGTGAGCCCCTGATCTAATGGGACTGGTGGACATTTGGACACAGACACACCCGGGAGGATGCCACGTGAAGACCGGAGTTCTGCTGTCACCAGCCAAGGAACTACCAGAAACCAGGAGAGAGACCAGGAATAGACCCTCCCCTGGCACCTCCCCTGCCGACCCTTGATCTCGGACTTCCGGGGCATCCAGAACTGTAAGCCCATCCACTGCCATTGTTCTAAGCCGCCCAGTTTTGGGTGCTCTGTCAGGGCAGCCCTAGGAAACGAATACAACCTCTCTGCTCAGGAGGCTGTGCCCGTGCCCGGGCTGCAGGAAGGCTGCCGGTTGCCCTGGAATCCCTCGCACAGCTAAAGCCTGTTTACTTCACTCCTGTTGCCATGATGCAGCTAAGTCAATCCTCAGAGAAGTGGATGTATTTTTGTGCCTGGCTTACGGCAGCATTTTCCATTGCTTTGCGCTGATGGTCCATCCTGAGAGATCAGGAGGAAACTAGAAATGCTTTCCGAAGGTAAGTGGTAGCAGGAAAAAACACCCCTAAGATAAGTACTGCTTTATGCACCACCAGCCCACTGGAGTGTACAGGGACTACATTTAAGGAGCTGTGCAATGCAAAGCAACTATTGCTACAGAGATGCCTCAAACCAAAGCTTTAATCAGCAGTGTGCTCATAGGGATGTGGGACAATGATGTAGCAACAACACCTGGTAGGATGATCACTTAAATTTCTATCATATTTTGGCAGCAAGATCTGAATAGTTGAGAAGCATCATACACGGGACTGGACACTATGCATTACAATTAATTTCCAAACTCAATTCCTGTCTTAACATTAAAGCTTATTTGTGGAGGTCGGGAGAGACACAGCACAACTTGTCAGGACGGACTAGTACGGAAGGATGGCGGGGACCCGGCTATTCTCGTCTCAAGACTCTATGGCTCAGTTTACTCTGAATGGTGAGTTCTCCAGCCAAGCTCGCTTGTTTAGACAACAAGGAGGCTGGGTGCATCACTGGGGGGCAGAGCATGGGGTACCACGCAGCCAGCAGGTAGTGTACAAGGCCACTGAGAACTGCCCTAGTCTCAGGGGCAAGAGGAAGACACGTAAGTAAGGGTCTCTTTTACCCCTCCCAAGGGTAAATGGATCTACTACGTGTGTCCTGATGAACAATGTGGTTTGCTGGGACAGAATGGGCTTTCGTGGCATTTCAAGGCAGCAGCGAGTGTTGTTCCAGACCCACCACGGGTGGGCCGTGTGTCTGCGTGCTTAAGGAGTAGCTTTCCCTAAGGGTGGCACAGTGACCTGCAGACGGGGTGAAGAAACCCAGAGCGCCCCGCGAGGACGTGCTAAGTGTGCGCCGAATTAAAGGAGGAAGACACAATTCAGAGGACGTTCCCTGGCTGGCTTCCGTCAAGCCGTGGGGCTGCAGAGCAAGCCTCACTGAATGGTGGCAGATCCCAGTTACCTCGCCTGTCCAGATCTCCTCTAGTGCTAAAACCATATCACACCGTCAACATTACCACATGTAACAATTCTGGTAGGAGTTTTTCAGGCTCCATACGCACTTTGGATTCTGCTTTTCCAGCTGGCAAAAACTCCATTTCAAAAACTGGATTATCGTGGTGGCCAACAATGACAAAGTAGAAGCTTCCAGACATTGTCTTCAAGTTATGGCTCCTGACGAAATGAGAATAAGACATAACTTTAGTCCTCGATACTGAAAATCAAAAACATGAACAGGGAGTCTAGAATTCAATTTTTTATTTAAGCCTGACACCGCAGAAAAGGCCACGGAGCTCGGCCTGCTTTCCAGTATGCTACCACAGACATGTGGCTTTTGGACTAGACAGATCTATACCTGTGACATGCCCGCAGAACCCAGTGCTTTATTTTCGTAGGTAAACTAGAAGACCTCCAGTATAAAGTCAATCCTTCACCTCTCAGGGTCTGAAAGTTTGGAGCATTTAGAGTAAGCTGGGCCATCCTTGCACTGGACTAGTCGTGAGGACCAGCACTAACACCTGCGAGGATTAATGCGGGGTGCTGGTTAGGGAGTCACCGGCTTGCCTTGGGAATTTTCAGGAGGGACGGTTCCACGGGAGCTAGAAACAACTCCACCTCGTGTCACTTACACGAAGGAGCGACACTCATGGCATTTATCTACTGGCTATTAGCTGTATTTATATGTTCCTTACCTGACGCATGTATGCTAGAAATACAAGTTTCTACAAATAGAAGAGCCTATGATATACCTTTTCCAACACCACTTGTGAGAAAGGAAGTTTTGTAGTCTAGAAAAGATGGGAGAAATCCTAATCCTAAGGGGAAGACATTCTGAGGCTGTGGGAGGACTGGAAACTGGGGTTAATAGGTTTGCTGAAGAAATAAAACTAACAGAAAGCGGTGGCTTGGGGGGAGATCGGTGATTCTGTGGCTTTCGGCACACACAATCAAAATCCAGTGGATGGATGGACTTAACGTATGTATTTGTAGCACAGGGTGTTTGGAATCAGACAAAGCTAGGTTCAAGTCTAGCTCTGCCACTCACTAGTAATGTGACCGCCCAAGGAAGGACCCTTAATCTCCCACTCCCAATGTGTGTCCTTCTCAGTGAAATACAGATAATTGAGATAACACGCATAGCTGCCTTTGGGTGAGCTTGAAGATCACACAGCCTAATGCATCTACAGCACCCAGCACAGTGTCTGGCTCCTGGGAAGTGCTCAGTAAGGGTTCTCTAGAACACAGAACGCCACATGCACAGATGTGCTGACAAGGAAGGCCTCCACACGGACGGGGGCGGGGGTCTGTTAACTAGGAGTGTGGAGTCCGGGGGAGAGCGGAACCGAGGTGTGCCAGAGCCCAGGGCGCGCCAAACTTCACTGGGACCCCTGCTGATTCACACAGATGGTGCAACAAAAGCCCAAGAAATCTGAAACGTATTTCCTAATGAATACAACATTTTGTAAAGGAAACCAGGGCACAGCTGGCATGCAGAACTCTAGAACTGGAAGGCCAAACTGGAAAAAAAGGCAGACGGGAGACCCTTTTGGCACGATGGAGTAAGCAGGATTTAAAATATGATTTGGGGCAGGCGTCAGAGCACTAGAACCCGCAGGCCAAACGTGGCCTCCTCCATCCTTTTACTGTCGTCGGAGGCTGCTTTTGCTCTACAATGGCAGACACGAGCAGCTGTGACGGAGACCGCCTGGCCCTTTCCAGAAAAAGGTGTGTCCCTGTTTTAGGGGGAAAATGAGAAAAAGGCCCCAAGAGTAAAACGATAACAAAGACAAGCGGGGAAGACACGAGAGCTATGAAAAATGAGGAGAACTGGCAATAATTCTCAAGAGAAAGTGAGGGGAAGAGGGAGGGAGCTTGAAATTTTCACCAAGTCAACAATGATATTCATTTTTGCTGGAATAGGTTTCATAGGTGGAGTCTGCCAAGGGCAGGGCTTACTTTCTTCAGCACAAACATTTAAGCAGCAGCAGAGAAAACAAAATAAGGCAGATACTCCCTGCCACGCCCATGCACATTAAAAAAGCAGCAGAAGACAATATATGTATGAGGAAGGTTACCCCCTACACACTCTCCTCTGTGCGGAAATGCACGACTGGGAGAGAAGCGTCGTGGTAGTGTTACGTACAGCGTGAGGGTAAACAGAAAGGGAATTGAAGGAAATACCACATAGAGGTTGTATCAGCAACTGTGCAGAGGGGCAGAACTCGAACTGCTAAGAATGTGATTTCACAAAACAGCTGAAGAAGGGAGGTAACCATTCCATTCTGACAAGGAAAAACTGAAAGGTGAAGTGGAAGGAAAGGGAAGCATACAACCCATTATCTCAGGAAGGGAGTATCTACAATCCTTTAACGTTTCAGGGCTTACCACGCCTAGATAGTGGGCAAAGGGCAAAGGGGAGACACTCTCTAGAATTCTGTGCTGTCCTATATATGGCACTTTTTTTGCGAGAATGGAAATGTTCTATACTCTCAATGTCCAATATGGCTGCCCCTGGAGGCTAATTTCATATGTGGCTAGTGTGTCTGCAGAACTACATGTGAAATTTAATTTTATTATTAACATTTAAATAGCCACATGCGGTTGATGGTTACTGTATTGGGCAGTGCAGGTCTAGATCAGTTGATTCCAAACCTTTTTTTTTTTTTTTTTAAAGCACTGGGATCTCCTGCACCTTTCCTCCACCCTGAAATATGACTTAAACTCCAATATGTAACACAATACAATGAAACAAGCCCCTGTGTTTGGGTGAGTTTTGTGTGTGTCGGCTACACTTTCCCACCACCTCTAGGGGCCTTCCCAGCATCTCCAAGGAAGACTAGGTCTCAAGGTGTGGAGGAGGTAGCGACACAGAACTTGGCAATGGACTGGACTGGGGAACTGAGGATGTTTCCAAATGCGTGGCTGAGGTGATCAGGTAGAAGACCAAGATGTGATGCTATTTACTGAGAAAAGAAAGAAGGTTAGAGGGATGAAAAGGAACATGTCAGTTTTGAACATGGGATGGCAGCCAGAATAGCACCCCCCACCCAGATGCCCACATCCTCATCTTGGGAACCGGTGAATGTTAATTTACAAGGTAAAGGGGAATCCAGGCTACAGAAGGGGCTAAGATTGTTCATCCGCTGACCTTAAGATAGAGGGAGGAGCCTGGACTACCCAGGTGGGTCCAATGTAATCACAAGGGGCTTTAAAAATGGAAGAAGGAAGCACAAGAGGAAGGGGAGGGGGGACCGTGATTGCAGAAGGATGGTCACGTGATGCGAGGTTGCCGGCTTTAAAGATGGAGGAAGGGGCCACCAGTCAGAATATGGGCAGCCTCTAGAAGCTGTAAAGGACAAAGAAGGAGATTCTTCCCAAGAGCCTCCAGAAGGGAACACAGCCCTCCTGATACCTAGATTTCAGCCCGGGGAGACCCATGTCGGACTTCTACGCTACGCACTGTAAAGTAATACACTTGTGTGGGTTCAAGCCAAGGCATTCGTAGTGATTTGTTACGGCAGCAGGAAACTAGCACACACATGAAAGCTACAAAGAAAAAACCTTGTAGGAATGGGAAAAAAGGAAATATCCAAGGAAGTGGCAGCCAAATGGCAGAAAGTGCATTCTACAGAGTCAGGACAAAGGGAGTTCATTTACCATGGAACACGGGTTCCAGGGCATTGTGGAAAAGCTTGGGCGGGGCAGTGGTGTGTCAAGATGAAGCTACTTAGAGCCAAACGGGGATGACAGCATGCAAAAGAACAAGGGGCTGTGGTTTTTTCCAGCCTGAGTCCCTAACACCGAGCCCAGGACGTAACAAATGCTCAATGTTTGCAGAATGGAACTGCCAGGAGGGGGCTGTGGTTTACACAGTGGGGGATGACCCTGGAATACAGGAAAGGGAATGCAGGGAGGAGGAGAGGCCACGTGGGATTGATTAACTAGCCCAGGGGAGGCCTTGAGGGGGTGGAGGGGTGCAGGGAGGCGGTCTAGGGGCCTCAGCATCGGAGAGCTGAAGTCAGTGTTCAAGTGATTAACTAAAGAAGTCGAGGTGGTGCTTCAAGGAGCTCTGGACCACCTTGAACTCCAAGTGGATGTGTACATAATGTAAGAAGTAGGGCACAAACTAGTAATGAACACAGAGATGAGGCCTGGGACCAGAAACCTGCGAGGCTAGCCTCACAAGGGCAACAGCCCAAAATGAGCTGAAATGTGTGGAATATGTTGACTTTTTAGGCCACAATCAAGAAGAAGCCCGGGAGAAAGGTCAACTGCTTCAAGTACCTGCTATGCAAATAACAGAGGACACAGACCCGAACTTCCATTTTCTCAAAGAGAATGATTTTCAAACAGCAAATGTGATCGAAACAAGGTTAGGCAGGTTATAGATATATTAAAAAAAATCTAAACATTTCAATAAACACAACTCTTCATGTCTTAGTAAAACTACTTATGTTGGATTAGCAAATGTGATTATATATCTAGTGATCAGTGACATTTGAGAAGTTGCAGGAACAGAAAAGCACCGTATCATCAGATATAGGTAAGTGTTATTCCTATTTTCTGAAACAAAAAGGCTTATCTCCTAGTCTATAATTCAGTCCTTTCAAAGAAATTAAAACACCATGAGAAATAATGTATTAAATGACTGGCTTTGGTCAGACACCGTACTAGGAGTTTTCATTATACATTGAGTCATTTCATGCGAATCCTTAGACAAAAAGAGGGGGCTATTAGTCATGCATGTACACCTGGTTATCCTGAGAGCCAGTCATGCCAAACTTGGAAGGAAAACACAGGAGCCCGTAAGTCCTCTGGGGAAGCAATTTAGTATCTCCTGAGAAACAACTAGAGACCTTTAGTTTGGATAACAGAGTCTGTGTAGGCCCAGAGCGCCAACAGTGCTGGGGGCCGAGGAAGCACTCATTATATGTTGAATAAGGGGCACACCTCAAGGCTGACTAGAATGTTGAAGTGCTCCCAGTCAGCAGACAGTATGGGACCTCTGGAGAGCCTTTGAAGTTGACCTTCACCTAGTCCAGCTCAACATTTGAATTAATAACTGTGAGATGACACCAACTTACCACACTCAAAGATTACACTCCAAGGACAGTCAATTTATTAGAAGGCAAAAGTCAAGATTTAAAAAATATCTCTTCATCAGGTATGACATTAACCAAGTAGAATTTAATAGGATGAACAATAAAGCCCTGTACATGGGCTTGAAACAATGAACTGCACAACAACAGGATGAGGAATCCAATTTTAAGAGCAACTGCAAGAACCCAAAAGTTTTCATTTACTGCAAGCTCAGTAAGAGGTAGCAGTCTGATACAGTGGTAAGAAACAACAACAACAACAATCTAATGGAATTCTAGGCTGCATTAAGAGAAGACCATGTTCTCTTCACTAATAATATCATCTCTGGGGAATGGACTCAGTTCTGGAAATCCCATTTTAAAAGAATCAATAACTGAACTGTGCATTGGAAGGAGGGTGAGAGATAGGCTAGGGAATGTTCTGGACCAAAGCTACTGAAGGAACTGAAGATGTTTAAACTGAGGAGGGGAAAGACTTTTGGGGGAGGGGATGGAGGACAGCACAATGTTATCCTTAAAGATGATATACTGTCTAATGGAAAAGGGATTTGACTAGTCATGTCAAATGGGTTTCCCTTCCCGAGGCAGTTCTAATCCACTGGTAGTCACGGCCAAGAACTGGTGCTGGGAAAGATTCTGAGACTGCGTGTGGTCAGCGGGAAAGATCGCTGCGATCAATTATTACCCACTGTCATCGGTTTGGGGGAGGGCAGTTGCCTACGTGAGTGCCAAGTATTTACTCTTTGCCGCCATCCCAATCACACCCATTAAAGCCCAAATGAAGTCACACTTTTCCAGAGATGTGTCCCTGCTGGCTTCTATCTTAAACCACCTCTCCTTTTTCTAAACTCTTAGCCCAGTCCATCATGCATCTTAATTCTTATCCAATTCTCCGGCTATGTTTCCATTACTGCTTCTGGAAAGACTACTTCCTTTTTAAACTAGATTTAAGCATCTTGAGTACCCGGCTCACTTTCACCTTCCTCCCCGCATGCAAAGTGGGGGGTACTCAAAGATTAGCTCCCTGATTTTCAGCCAGGCACTTCTGCCTTCCAGAGGACACCCGGCAGTGTCTGGAGACATTCATGACTGTCAGAACTGGTGGGGAGGTGCTACAGGCATCTAGTGGGTGGAGGCCAGGGATGCTGTTCAGCACCCCACAGCGCACAGGACAGCGCTCACTACAAAGACTTTTTGGTCTCCAAGTGCGACAGTGCCGCGGTTAAGAGGCCTTGGGTCAGCTGAGTGACCCAGGGAAAGGCAAAAGAAGCAAAGCCCCCGAGCTGGCGGACGTTTGCAGGTTGCAATGCGTGGGCTGTAATGGGATCAGCCAGCCGGGGGTTAGACAGGTTGGGCCCAGCACCCCAGTCGGCAGCAGGATGGAGAGACAGGGTCAACACCCGGGTCACGAAGGGGCCCGACGTCCCCCGGAGCATCCACCTCACTCCCAACCTTCGCTCCATCCCCTACCTGCGCCGAGAGGCAGACAATGTAAATATCCAGGGAGTTCCCGCGGCAGCGACCCGCCTTCCGCAGCTTCGGTTAGGACCGCCTCACAGTCCTCGCGAGACTCCGCCGTTACGCTCTCGCGACACTAGGGCGGGGCTTCCGGCGGCTGCGTGGCGTGACTTGGACCGCTCGGCGGGGCGGGCCTCGGGAGAGGGCGGGGCCGGCTGTGAGCGGAGAGGGACTGCGCGATGCCTCGCCTTCCTCGGCCTCACGTTTCCCAGGGCTCCGCCGTCGCTGTCTCCGCCCTCCAGCCCGCGGAGGGAGCCGTCCCCGTGCCCGGCGCCCGGCGCCGCCCGCCCGTTAGAACCCGAAGGAAGGAAGTACGTTTCTCTGCCAGGGTTCCAGTCCCAGTGGGGCGGCCGAGCGTTAAGCAGCCCAGTGCTTCCCGATCCCCCGGCGCAGAGGCTGGGCTCTGAAGGCAGGGACTCCCTCCGTCCCCACCTCGAGGCGGGCTGGGCGGGGCTGGCGTGGAGGGAAGCCGCCCCGTGAGGGCTGAACCAGGTGGACGCACCGGCTCCTTCTCGGGCGCCGGCAGCGGTGGAGCGTCCTGTTTGTTTTCGTTAAAGCGCCCATCCCCGCCGGGCCTCTTAGGGCTGGGCTTCCCCGAAGGTCAGCCACTGGTCCGTTTTCCGAAACTCCCATCCGCTCTGCCTGCCAGGTAACCCGAACCATCTTCTCTTGCAGTCCACCATGCCCCCCAAATATGACGTGTTGACTCAAGATGAGCTGCGCAAAAGGCTGTACCAGATGTTTAAGGACCGGGGTATACTGGACACGCTCAAGGTATCCGTTCTAGGCATAGCTGTTACATAACTTTTCCAGGTGTGACTTGTAACAGGTAGTCCCCACTTAAATCCATCCAGGTCTTGGGTTTTAGAAATAGTATGATATATAGGTTGTACTGGTGACAGTTTTATGTTTTATAAGCGGTTTTGTAATCGTCACGCTTGAATTAAGGACATTGACACCATATAGAAAACATGAAGTGTACTGCTTACCGTAAAATAGTTTGGGGAATGAGAACTTTCTTCCTGAAAATCTGTCAAAAGGTGTAAATACTTCATTTGGGCAGCAAATACTTATTAGTATGAATTAACGGCACAGGAGTAGGATTAACAGCAAGGAGTAGGATTACCTCAAATGCGTTTTCATTACTATATACATTTCCAAAGTGTATTTCACACTTAAAATGGGAAATTAAGGCAGAGTGAGCTTTGTTCCCCCCCCCACACACTGTTTTTGTAACTTTAAAAAAAACATACTTCAGACTCATCTGAAAAATACAGAAAACAAAGGAAACTCATCTCTCAGAACCACTGATTGACATAATTGTGTGTGTGTGTGTTTTCTCAGTTCAATATATGCGGAGCTTTTTCCTGTGTCCTTAAACGTTTCTTGAAATCCTCATTTTCATTGGGACTCTGCTCGTGTTTGGACGTATGTGTAATGTATGTAGCAGTCCCCTGTTGAATATTTAATTTGGGCAGCAAATATTTCTTAGGACACTTTATATATAAATTCACAGCAAGGAGTAGGGTTAGTTGGAATGTGTTTTCATTACTGTGTATTTCAGAAGTATATTTTACACTTAAGACGTCAAGTAGGTTATAACCAAGTTTACACATCCTTCAATCGCATGTCTCATTTCTTGCCTAGGATAGGTTCAGTGGCATTGCTTATGTTGCCATATTACTCTTTATCCTGGAAAATCAAATAAAAGGGCATGAGCGTTTCTTTTTCAGGCTATTAGCATCTCGTTCTAGAAAGATTGTAATAGTGTATATTCCACCAGCAGTTTGAGAATGCTTGTCTCACTCCAATATTATCATCACAATTTAAAAATGTCGAGTAGGTCAGTTGGTTAGAATGTTGTCCCAATACACTGAGGTTGCAGGTTCGATCCCTGGTCAGAGCACATAGAAGAATCAACCAGTGAATACATAAATAAGTGGAACAACAAATTGATATCTCTCTCTCTCTCTCTTCTCCTCTTGCCCCTCCTTCTCTCTCCCCTTCTTTTCTCTCTTTGAAATCAATAAATAAAATAAACAATAATAACCAATGTAAGATTGAAAATCTCTTATTTGAATATTTATTCCTTTGATTATTAATGAGATTGTACATATTTTCTGGCCATTTGTATATTTTCCATGGATTGGCAGTTCATGTCTCTTGCTCATTTTTTTAGGGTGTTAGTGTTTTCATATTAATGTGTAAGAACCCTTTTAATTGAAATTATTAATCTTTTTTCCACTTTTGTGGCAATACTTTTTCTCAGTGTTCAATTTTACTTTGGCTCTAAAATATGATGTTATATTTTTATATATGGTCAAATCTACGGATTTATTTTGCAGAGTATTCTCAGTAAATTTTCCTCTACTAAGAGCATGAATATTCACTTTTTAAGTTTTGAAAAAGGCTTCAGCTTTTATAGTTAACACTTGAACCCACCTGGAATTAGCTGTAGTGTATAATGCAGTTTAATACACATTCTGATGTGGAATGTGTATTCCTGGGCATGGCATTTTTTTCCTGTGTTTCTGGATTAGATTCCAGAGGGTTTCACTTCCTGTTCTGTAGTCACAATGGCCACTAATCCTTTTGGAGGTGTCCTTGTTTTTTTTTGTTTTTTTTTTTTGGAGCTAGCCTTGTTTGCTATGCAGCTGCAGCGCATTGTCTGCAGCTGGCTGTTGTTTCTGGAATTCAAGCCTCATCAGTGGCAGGGCAGAGTTTTACTCTCAGTCTGGGCTAGTTCTTATTTTCTCAGTTCAGTGACTGTGGCCTGGGTGAGTGCTGACTTTTAAAACTTACTGACTTTTTTAGTGGCTTAGCTCATATTCTATTTGGATGTTTGAAAAGAATTTGTATTGTCAGTTAGTACAAAGTCATAGATATTAAATGAAGCTTATGAAATCTTCATATTTTGAGTCTGTCGATCTGTCTGTCAGTTTCTGAGATGTGCCGAAGATTCCTAGGACTCTCTTCTCCCTCTTCCCCTCCTCCCCATAATAATTATGCTTAGTATGTTAATCTTAGGGACATTGCAAGGTTTATATCTGAATGGATTTTCCTCTTTGCATTGGCTGCTGGAAAGCCCAGCCAGTTTTGCAGTTCCTTCTAGCAAGTGTTAGATGGCACGATTGTGTATTAGTCAAGATGGGAATTCATGTATACTGTTTCATTTTTTTCTACTCTTCTTTTCCCTTCTAACCTGCTTGTATCACTCCTTCAAATTTTATCTTATTTCAGCACTTGTTTGTAAGACACCCTGAATCACTTTTACCAGTTAAGATGGATCTAAATATATTAATTCCTTAGTATATTACAAATCTGGTTAAACCACCTTTTAATTTTACTGGTGGAGAATGCTGTAGTTTCTCTTCTCCTATTTTACCATTTCTGTTACTGCACTGTATTAGATGAGGCAGAGCATGTATATTCTGCTCAGTATAAATGTGTTTTGTATGACAGGATTTTCGATGTATAAACCCTCTTCTGTACGGGTAATTATATACTGTTCTTGTCTCTAGCTGAAGGACCTAGGAGATAGCGGTATAGCAACTCCATTTGTTTCTTGCTTGTATTCTATTAATATGAATACATTAGATATTATTTAGTGTTGAACCGCATGGATATAGGCAACATAGTCTTAAGCTTAGCCCCATTATATGCAAAATAGATTACAACAAGTATCAGTAGTTCAATTAATTCAGAGACTTTCTTAAAACCCAAAGGAATAATAACAGTAGTTATAATCTTGAAAAAACTACCCACCTTGAACCTAAATTTCCTTATTTATAAAATGTGAAAAAATTTTGTGTTTTGTGGTGTCTTGAGATGTAAATACTGTATACAGAAGTGCATCTTAATAAGCCTTTTTTGGGTTTACTGAGTTCTCGCTTGCATTTGTTATTTCCTTTTGGGGAACCCAGCTTTATTTTGATCAGTATGCCCAGTAAGCTGATTTCGCCCAGTATTGTTTTCATATCCTCCAACAATTCGCCGAGAGATGAGGAAGCAGCAGAATTTTCTCTTGCTATCCCAACCCAAAGCTGCTGAAATGGGCTCACAGGGAAGACAAGTCGGAGCCCACCTGTGTGCTGGCTGACCGCCAGTTCACCTGGAAGCCGGTGAAAGCTAGCTGCTTGTCCCACAGGGCAAGGCAGAATGCAGCAAAGAAGTTCCTAACCTCTGGTCGTGGACCTGGGACCTCTGTGGAAATAGAAGGGAAGATTGTCATTCATGTGGCAAATGTGCATCTTCCACGCAACGCTCCTGCTGAAAGCGTGTTCCCTCTCATTTCTCTTTTTTTTTGTTTCTGAGCCAGATGCAGCTGAGAAAGCAGCTCATTCAGGAGTTGATGCAGCCTGTATTGAGCGGAGAGATGGAGCCCCGGTCCATTTCCGTGGAAGGAAGCGCCCTCTTAATAGGCGCGTCCAACTCTCTCGTGGCAGATCACTTACGAAGATGTGGCTACGAGTACTCACTTTCGGTTTTCTTCCCAGAAAGTGGCTTGGCAGAGGAACAGGTAAAGTTTTTCCTTCCTGTTGCTGAATTTTCTATTAACAGCCTCGCCCCCACCCTGAGATGATAGTCAAGTGCTGCATAATAGCTGAGTGCTGCCAGGCTGCCTTGGTCCATTTCTCAGCCATCTTTGAAGTACATCATAGAGTTGATATATTATACAACGCAAGTCTGATGTTGTTATCAGTTTCGATGGAGTCTTGATTAGAGTTTTATGAAATTACGCTGTGTAGAATCACGAAATGTTTCAGAGCTAGAATTGATCCGAACTGAGACTCGTAACTGCCGTTTATGTTGAATGTCTGTTGAGAGCCCGGCACTGGGCCGGTGGCAGTGCGATGCATGTGCGTCCTAGATGAGGAACCGCAGTCTGGAGGGGTGGGTGATTTGCTCCGGGCCACAGGGTGTCTAGGTGGCGACACAGGGCAGTCAATGTAGGCCTCCAGAAGGTGGCTTTCCAATGCCACAGTCTCTGTCCCTTCATATGTCCCTTTTCTGTGCTTACATAAGACAAGCGAGGAATGCATTATTTTTTAAAAAAATCTGTGGCGTTCTCAAATATTAAAACATGT